TGCTGATCTTTGGTTGTATGCAACAATTTTAATCTGGGCCTTAGTCTCCACTTGGAATTTGATGACATTTTGTATAAAATGTTCTACTTTTACTCTATCTCTTATACAGCCCATGGGAGAGCAGTAGAGATATTTGTAGCCCTTTCTTTTAAAATCATTGCAGAACTGTCCAAAAGCCCTGTCATAATCATTTAGGTTGGGCTTCCCCCAGTAATCCAGCTTTGTTATCAAGCTGTATACTCCAGCTCCATCTTTGACCTGCTGGTATGCCAGATGGTCAGACACACAGTTCCATAGAGTGGGTTTGCCAAATTCCCGTGCGAATGTATCAGCTACCCCAGCTGTCATATGCCTATCGTTCCCAAAGTCACCAGATATTGTGTGAGAGAATGCGACCTCTTTGTTGTTACAATGGTCGTTGATGACCCTGGTCATGTCTTGTTGAGTAATCGTGATCTTTTTTCCACACCCAAGATTTACTGTTTGAGTGATATGTTTGATGGCTGTTGGGTCATTTTCTGTTTGGGTAGCCTGACATTTGGTTTGAATTATATCCAGTATCATGTTTGCCACTTTTCTTTTCCCATTTTTGTTTATATGGTAGCCATGTCGAGTGTGATTGAACTTTTCCAATAGATATAGATCTAGCAGGTTGACATCTTTGTTCTTGTAGACTAAAGCCCTGATATTGTTATTAATTTCCGCAATGATCTGGTGGTGGTAGTGGCTATTGTGAAGATCATACCGATATGGTAGGGTGGTTAAAATCAGATTAGTATTTTTACATTTTTCTATCAGACTTGTTAAACAGTTAATGATTTTGTATCTCCTAATGATATTTTTGGAATATATCTGTCTGGTATAAACTTCTCTGGGCAATACCCTTGACTCAAGAGGTCAAAGTACGTTACCGGTTGGGTCGAGTCTAGTTCTTTATCCTTTCTCAAATTCTTCTAAATAGAAAAAACAGGTGCGCGCTAGTCCACACAAATTACATTTTAGTCTGTTGTACTCTGTATCAACGATGTATATTTTGTTTTATGTTTTTGGTTGAATGTATTATTATTTTCACCACAATGAATTCACAATAACTAATGTCTAGTTAACTTAACAGTAAACTAGATAACACAAGTCCAGGTAAACTGCAAAAAGTGATGCATTTTATAATACACAGACAACAGCGGCTTTTGCCAACAAAGATGGCGGGTTGTCGTGTACGCCACATGTTAACTCTCGTCAACCCACCACCTCGCATGTAAGCGACAACGTGCCACCACGTCAACCCGCCATCACTATTTTATGAGGTGGCGGGTTGTCGTGTACGCTTAATGTTCGGTGTCGTCAACCCACCACCTCGCACGTAGACGTCAACCAGCCACCAGGTCAACCCGCCACCACACTAAAGAGGTGGCTGGTTGACGTGTATGAACATGTCTAAGCACCACCAGGACAACGTGCCACCACGACAACCCGCCACCACACATTTTTCCGAGGTGGCGGGTTGTCGTGCACCCTAGAGTCAACGTGCCAACCCGACAACGAGCCACCACGTCAACCCGCCACCTCAAACTTCTTCTTCTTTTTGATGGCGGGTTGACTTGGTGGCGGGTTGACGTGGTGGCGCCTTGGCGCGTTCCCACTCTCAGCAACTACTGACCGGACCAGGGAATGGGCACACGGGAGGGACTAAGGCTAAAGGTAGTGACGTAATATCTCTAGTGGCCAATGTCTTCTCTTGAGGCGACACGATTACCGTAACGAAACTATGTGATTTCAGCGGCGTTCGTGGCATAATTGGTAGCGTTTCGGATCGGTGTTCAGGAAATCCCGGGTTCGAATCCCGCTGGAAGCACATACTTTTTGTCTACAAATTTTTCATATCAGCAAGTTTGGTTGGTTAGGTTAGGTTATGACAGTTAAATTTTATAATACTAAATTTTAAAATTAATTTTATAATTAATTAAAAATTATAAGTAATAATTAATTAGATTTTTATCTTATGTAGTTTTTATATTATCAGCAAGTTTGGTTGGTTAGGTTATGTTATGACAGTTTAATTTTAAAAACTAAAAATTTATTTTATAATTTTAAAATAATATTTTATAATTAAAAAGTTTATTTTATAACTAAAAATAAAAAATAATTAAAATTTCTTTAACTTAGTAGTTCTAGCGGCAAACGCTGACACTACAAGATATGTTAGCCTTAGTCCCTCCCGTGTGCCCCACCGGACCGACCAGGACCCAGGACCGCGAGCCTTTCAAGACCGGAAAATGCCGCGCTTCTGCGCATGCGCTAGTAACTGGTGGCGTAGCAGCAGCTATTTCAGAAAGTCACAGTCACTAACCACTAACTAGCGTCGTTGTCGTAGTATTTATCTTGACTGTCTGCAACTGCAACTAGTTCCTCATTATTATTCATATCGTTTGTTATTCTTTATGTTATGATCGAGTTATGTCTGAGTTGAAGTTGGGGTTAATGTTATTGATAGATTTTGATTGCTGCTGTGTTGCGGAGGTCATTTATTATCGATGATGTGCTCCTTCTTCAATGCGAAAATTCTGAGAAATACGAGTAATGGAAGACATCAATAACACTTGAGTACTTCGTAGTTTATGTGGAAAAGTTTATTTTTAGTTTATGGACGAGAAGTACAGAAGGATTCCAATTAATAAGCCAGCTATGTTCAACAAGGCAAGGCCAATAAAATAATTTGTTTTATTCACTAGCGCTTTTGAATGGAAACCTAGTTTCTGAAAGTGCTAGTGAATAAAATAAATTATTATGTATTAGCGTTGTTGAACATTTACATTTTGTTATAAACTTCATTGTAAGCAAGATTCCAATAATGAATAATTCTCAAAAAGCTTAGACCATTAAAAATGAAATGAGAATTGGGATCTTCTCTTTTGGAAAACATGTTTGGGTACAATTGAAGATACTGTAGATGAATAGATGATAACGGTAACGTAGCCCACCCAAGTTACTTAAAATTTGTTTTATAAAATAAAGGAGGTGCCAGAGGTTACAGTAAGTAAAGGAACACATACATAAACATAATCTGTAAAATTCTACATTCAGTTACAGTAATTAAATGGTTTGGAGTTAAGCGCGGGAGAACCATTCCAGTTACAAGTAGATTGTTGCAAGAGTTGCAGTGAAGATACTAGTGTGATTTTCTGAAACAGCTGCAGCTGTTACAAGTGCTACGGATAACGCTTACTTGCGCATGCGCAGACGCGCGGCATTTTCCGGTCTTGAAAGGCTCGCCCAGGACCAGACCATATTTGACGTTAGTTGGGTTTGTTTCGTATTCGTCGTACAGTTCAGTGTTCAGTTTTCAGTTGCGTGTTGCGTCCTTGAGAGTTGAGGGGTTGAGGAGACGAGTGACGGCAGTGCAGACGATAGTTTGCCAAAGACAGGTTAGGATGTTTAAAAACCATGCAACTTCACAGTTTGGTGATTTGTGGTTGCTTCCGTTTGGGATTGAGTATGGATACTACGAGCAGAATTCTTATTCTGTTTTAAATCTGAAACTAAAAGCAGTTTTTATGATGCCAAAGAACTTCCGTTATTGTAGGCGAACTTACTCTTTCTTACTTTGCAGTAATTTTTGTGTTGAGCTTTTTTACACTTTTGCCATAAAATGTAGGCTTATGTCCTAGTTTGAAAAAAATTAGGACTAAGGATGAATCAATAGGTAAACCTATCTAAACCGCCTATTGAACTCTGAGAGTATTTTCTAGATTTTCTACTTTATAAAACAATCTGTATGTTATATATTCTTACTAAGCCAAAGTACACTTTATTTAAATTGAAAATAAATTCAATGAACATCTGGCCAAATAAATTACTTATTGTCATAATTAGTTCAGAAGAGCAAAACTGAAAATTTTAAATACGAATTTTGAACTCTTTTCTACATTCCTTTGTTTCTGTGTACAAACCTTTTTTTATCGCATTATCACAGCCTACTTACTTAGTCTCCAGCCTCTTGTGATAATTACTCTACTTCAGTCATAGAACTAAACGAGTAGACTGCTTCAGGTTTAAGCCTACCTATCGCCTAGTAGAGTTTGGTCGGCATTATCGCTTGGTTAGATAAAATCCATTGACAGGGTTTGAATTGAACCTGCGGGACCATGGAAACCGAAGTACCATGCCCTACCACGGCTACCATTAACTCCGGAGTTAAAGGTGGCCGTGGCTCTACTGTTAGACTACTTCACTCTCCCCCACAATCGAATACACGCATTGGTTTTAAGCTAAAGATGATAACAAAATTACATTAATATTAATAATGTTAAACTACAACTTATTGAGTCAATTTTAAATGTTGGTTTTAGAAAATTTCCCATATAGCAAATAAGCTATTACGACCGTGGGTCTCATGGTAAGACCTGGACCCGGGACCGATTTGATTTTCGTGTTGATGTCCCCAGGTCAAAACACCATCAGTTTAAATTCCTTTATGGGGGGTTTTATGGGGTAAAAGTTGGGTTTTTCCTTTATTGACTCTAAAAGTATTAAATTATGATTATGTTATTTATTATTAAACCAATGTGTAGAGCTTTAAAACACATAATTAAATAATTAAGTATATTAACGCGTTGTCATGAGCTTAGTGGTTAAAAGAGAAAATATACAAAAAACTATAAATTTAAAATTTTTACAAAATGGAGAATAAGTAAACTGTTGTTGTTTGCTTGTTTATGCACATATTTCAAACAAATCTTGACACATAATTTATTTATTTCATACTAAACTCACTAAAAAAACACACTTTATTGCCTTTCCTGTAGCAGCAAACCTAATTTCCTACAACATGCCATAGTGCAATCAATAGTGCCGTTTTATTATAGTATCACCCAATATCTATAACTATCTTAATTTATTTATCTCTGCGCACATTTCTTTTGTAAACCTGTAAAGTACAGCTGATTAGCGCGGTGTTGTTTTTGTTTGTTTTTGTTGTCTGCTGTCATTGCATAAGCAAGCAAAGCAAGAGAAGGGAGAAGCTTACGACAGTGACAGAAGGCCTAGTGTGTAAAGTTTAATAATTTATTTGAAGGACCGGATTGGTTTTGAATTTCTGTAATCAAGTACAAAAATTGTATAATAACCTGAATTTAATTTATTTTATTATTTATAACTAAAATGCATTGTCTAAAAGGTGGCTTTCTAACTCAGACTTGCAAAGTCTTTGGTTCTAGGTTTCAGCGGGGATTTTCAAAGGCAGCTGCTGGTGGAGGTTAGTCAAACCATATTAATTAATTTGGCTGCACTTTACTTTAGGTCCTACACTCATTCGGATGAAAATATCGATTAGCCTATTTGATTGTTTCATTCGATATATCGTTTGGTTAGTTAGGTTAGGTTAACCTTACCTACCTAACTAACCAAACGATAAGTTATGTCGAATGAAACAATCGATATTTTTTCATTTGAATGAGTGTTCATGTATGTGTGTGTGTTTCATTCTCTAATACAAGCTCGGCTATAACTCAATAACTCGGTTATTGAACCAAGTATAACTTAGACATATTTGCTATGTCTGCTTGCCTGTCTGTCTGTAATTTAAATTCGTTTGAAGAAAACAGATGGAATATGGATCATAAAGGAAAACAAAAATATCAATATATCAAAAAGAAATCATAGATAACAATGAATATTCCCCTTCAGGAAAGTAAGACATCCAGTTACTGAAAACGAAACATAACCTCTACCCAAACAAAACGCGTGTTAGTTTACCATGCATCGGCAAATATCAATCAACTATTAGTATGTTCACTAATGTGTGCCGGCCGCCTCCATGCCGTTTTGTTACTTGAATAACAATACCTAAATTTATAAAATGCCTGATATGGTTTGATTAATTCACATGTTCACAGTTTTAACTTTATTCTTAAGTCAAACATTAAATTTAATACTTAGTGAACTGGAAAACCATACAAATATTTTTAAATTTAGTAGATTACATGTACAGAAAAAATTACATTTGACCGTGCCAGGCCCCCTTAGGAGCACCGGACGCTGGGGATCTGCCCCCCCCCCTGCCACACTCTATAGCCGGCCCTGCATATAATATTCTATTAAGGGAAACACTTTGATAATAATAATAAATAGTCTTTATTCAGCAAATGTTTTCCAGATATGTACAATTCTGCTTTTCAAAACAACTCTTCTCATTAACCTACTTTAAATAAAAAAAAAAAAAAAAACAATCTAAAAACAATATACATCACCAATCATTGAAAACAACCTCTGTGGTGATGCAATGTAAAAAACAATAAATATAAACTCAATAACACAAAACGCAAAAGCTTAAGTGTTTTTTTGTGTGATACAAAGCAATCTTACGATTCTTACGAAAAAACGAAGAACTCATCGAGAGGTCTACCAATAAGTGCAAGACTGCTTGGTCGGTAATTAACTCAGCTGCTGGGAGGTCCACGCAGAAAAATATGTCAGCGCTATCCCCTGATGACTACAGCTCCTACTTCTCCACAGCAGTGGAAGAAATCTGTGAGAAAGTGAATGTGTCAAAAAGCAATGCTCATCAAATGGTGGCAAAAAGTGCTCAACCTGTGTTTGATTTTAAATTCACAATGGTATCAGAATTAGATGTTTTAAATGTGATTGTGTCGTTAAAAAATTCTGATACTAGAGATGCGTATGGGTTAACGAGTAATTTATTGAAAAATGTTTGTTCTGTTATTTTAAGTCCTTTCACTTATTGTATAAATCGCTGTCTCATAGAGGGTGTTTTTCCATCTTTTATGAAATTGTCAAGGGTTGTCCCGGTGTACAAAAAAGGGGACAAAAATTTGCCTAGCAGTTACCGACCCATTTCATGTATTTCTACAATGGCTAAAGTTATGGAAAAAATAGTCAAAAACCAGGTATGTAATTTTTTGAACATAGTAATCTGTTTAGTAACTGTCAATTTGCTTATAGGTTAGGTCTTTCATCAACTTTAGCGGTGGATCATGTTGTAAATAATCTTTTTAACGCTTTAGAGGATAGGTGCTTTGCTCAGATCACCTTATGTGATCTGAGTAAAGCGTTTGACTGTGTTAATCATCCCATTCTTGTAGACAAATTAGCTCATTATGGTTTTCAAGGCTGTGAATTAGATTTATTTGTGTCATATCTTAGTAATCGTAGGCAAATGGTTGAGGTCAATGGTATTACATCGCAAGTCACTCATGTTAATTTTGGAGTTCCGCAAGGTTCAATTTTGGGCCCCATCTTATTTTTAATACTTATGAATGATCTATCTGTTAATGTTTCTTGTAGTGATGTCACAATCTACGCAGACGACACAACACTGTTCTGTAGCCACAGTGACTTAGGGCAGTTGCACTGCCTATCAGAAAATGCCTTAGGTGAATCGACAGAGTGGTTCTCTGCAAATGGCTTGCTTTTAAATGTTGACAAAACTGACAATTTATTGGTTTCAACCCATGACATCTGTGATTTTAGTTCTGTTAAGCTTTTAGGTATATATATTGACAATAGGCTGTCTTGGCAGCATCATATTGATTTTATCTGTACAAGGTTATCCAGAGTCAAATGTTTATTAAGCAGTTTAAGGAATCATGTCACTAATAGCTATTTGAAATTAGCCTATTTTGCATTTTTTGAGAGCATCATAAGATTTGGTATTGTGATTTTGGGTAATGGAGTTGGTATTGGCATAGATAAATCATACTCCCTTAGTAGATTTGTCATCCTTAAGGAACAGCTGAAGCCAGTTTTATTGTTAGTTCTGTACGTCCAACTGTAGAGGTTATGTTTTGTTTACAATTTGTTTCTTGTTATTTCAGTAATTTAAAACCTCATTTAACCAAATAAAACGATTTAATCATAAACAATAACTGGTCTCCTAGTTATATAACCAAATAGTAAAGCACAAATCATGAAAATAATCCTAAAATAATAGAAACAAAATGTTGTCTACCCCAGCGATCGGTGTGGACGTACATGAACTAGACACGAAAAACAAGCTTCAATATTTACAATGAGATGAGGAGTCTACTTGTGTTGCTTAGTCTATGGTATTGGTAAGGTGTTATTGATACAGAAAAAAGTCATTAGAATTGTTACTGGTGCCAAAAGATTAGACCATTGTAAATCTCTGTTCATAGAATCTAGTATATTAACTGTTGTAAATCTGTATATTTATGAAGTCTCCATTTTTGTGAAAAAGAACTCAAACAAACATGTTTTAAGAGGAAATGTCCATAGCCACTTAACTAGAAATAGAAATTTTATTGATGTAAGTAGAGTAAGACTGTCTAGATCTCAAAACTATCATACCCACTTGGGGATCAAAATATTTAACATGTTTCCAGTTGATTTTCGTGCATTGCCCTTAAATGAATTTTCAAAAAAACTGCTCTCTTGGTGTAAAGCTAATCCTATGTACAAGTTAAGTGATTTCTTCAATTTACAATTTGTAAACAAAGACTTAAATTTTATAGTTGTTTATAAATAATGTTTCTATTGTTTAGATTGACGATGTCTATTGTAATTCTTGTGAATTAATTAATGACTAATAAACTTGTCTATTGTCTATTGTCTATTGTCTTAAAAAATAAATTAACTTGACTCTAGAAATAAATTAAACCTCAAGGGGTCAGAGTTCTAGAGGAAATTACCTTTTAAATCGGGATTCGCAGGTGCGCTAAATTAAAGCTTTAAAATGACACTTCAATTGCATAAGTAGGATAAGTTAAACGACTAGAAAATGGATGAAAACAAAGGAAACCCTTATTGTATTAAGTAGGCCTATTTATAGATAGATAGGCCTAATCTTTGTTTTTATTTCAGTTGATGTAGCCGTTGATTTAAAAGGCCAAATAGATGCTCGACCTTTATATTTGGATTTCCAAGCAACAACACCACTGGTAAGTCATAGTTTAGTTCCAGAACTAAAGTCTAGAATATAGGCCTATTATTTATCTCAGGTTTTACAGACAAGTCTTAATCTACTGTTCTTTACACAAAATTATAACCGCTCTTATGAGTTTTGATTCTTGTCTTGTGCATAACATCTTGGGCCAAGAATCGGTGCCTTGTAGGCTACTAAATACCGATTGCCATTGCCACAGTCCAATTGAACCTCACAATCTCGAACGATAACTTCTTATCGTTATTATCTTCTGATCAGTTGCATTTATTTCAGGACCCTCGAGTGTTAGATGAAATGCTTCCGTATTTATGCCAACATTGGGGAAATCCACATTCACGAACTCACGCTTATGGATGGGACAGTGAAAGGGCAATGGAACATGCTAGAAAGGTATAGATCATAATAATGCTAATTTAATATTTGTTACCAGTACCAATCTAATTAGAGGGAAATTTTGTATTCTTTTTTCCAAAACTAATACTGGTGGTATTGAGAAATCTTAATACTTTTAGCAAATTTCCCTATAGGGTAGTGTTAGCAAATTTCCCTATAGGGTAGTATTAGCGAATTCCTTTAGAGTAGTAGCTTTGACTATTAATACAACAACTGTATTAATATAAACTTCTGTATCCAATAGTCAATGGTAGTAGGTTATGACAGTTAGGTTATGACAGTTTAATTTTATAATTAAAGATTTTAAAATTAATTTTACAATTTAAAAATTAATTTTACAATTTAAAAATTAATTTTACAATTTAAAAATTAATTTTACAATTTAAAAATTAATTTTACAATTTAAAAATTAATTTTACAATTTAAAAATTAATTTTACAATTTAAAAATTAATTTTACAATTTAAAAATTAATTTTACAATTTAAAAATTAATTTTATAACTAAAAAATTATAAAATAAATTTTTAAGTAGCCCATTTCTTAAATCGGCGAGAGTGGCTCTCCCACAATCCCCCAGTCCTTTGCAGAAAAGGTTCTTATCAGTTCCGGACAAGGAAAATGAGACGCTAGTAAGAATCTTGTGCCTACATAGGCTACTTTATATTAATAACCAATTAGGCCTACCAATGCCACAGTCCTATTGAACCAAAAAGGTAAAAGACCAATAGGTCAAGAATAACAGTGTTTTGTATAAGTCTTCAAAAGTCCTTCAGATTTCTTCTATAAGGTAGGAAGGAGGAATTATTTAATAGAAGACAGATATAGTATCGGAAAGGCACAAAACCTACTCTTCAGCAGAAGCTAAGGTTTAAGATACCAGAAATTGGCAAATATGCCTGTATTTAATCTTTTAGGTTCTAGCAGGCCAGGAATTAACCTTCCCTTTACCTTCAAATGATTTAATTAAAAATACAAAAAATAAATATTGGAAAGTAGAAATTTAAAATGACTTATTTCAATTTGTATGTTTTTACAGCAAATAGCTGAACTGATCGGAGCAGACCCCAGAGAAATTATTTTCACATCAGGAGCAACAGAGTCGAATAACCTTGCAGTCAAGGGTGTGGCTAGGTTCTACGCTAGCAAGAAGAAACACGTCATCACCACACAAACTGTAATCCATCATCTCTTTTCTAAAGCTTACTGAATTCTTGTAACTTTGTAAATCATGCAAATTGTAGTAGAGCCCTTTTGTACAGATATGGAGCCAGACCTTTTTGGTCTAAAAAAATCTTGGTAAATTATCAGAAGTTACAAAATTGATCAGACATGTTTAAAAACGACCACAGTATTAGGCCTACATTTAACATTTAATTTAAATAATGGAACACAGAAATCACATAATTAGTAACATTATTTATCGAACATATACTTTGTTTGACGGCCTTGTAATTTAGCTTAGCAATAGTTCATGTTCAGCAAGCCAAATATTCAGTACAAAATTGTAGAGAAATTTAATTCTCTGGTTGATAAAAAGAGTCTCTGAACATTTTTTATGGTCTTGTTCTTATCACTGAAATCTAAATCATACTTGGGCTTTGGAATTTCAAAGTAGTAAAATATTTTGGCCAGACCATCTTATACAAAATTTCAGCTCAATTTTTCATTTTCAACATAAAAGTGTGATTCTCGCAGGAACACAAATGTGTGTTGGATTCGTGTCGTCAGCTGGAAGGGGAGGGGTTCCAGGTGACGTATTTGCCTGTGGACGACGGAGGTCTGATAAGTCTGGAACAGCTGGACAAAGCTATCACAGAGCAGACGTCTCTGGTGTCCATCATGACTGTCAACAACGAGATCGGCGTCATACAGCCAATCGAAGAAATAGGTAAAAAAGTTATAAAATTGAGCTAGAAGGATTTTTTATCAGGCCTTGTAACTATTGAATATCAAGTCAATGGGGTATCAAAAACAATACTATGTACACATATACTAACACATATACAAACATATAATATGTTTGGGGGGGAAAAAAAGGTATCTCAACAGGATTTGAACTCTTTTCTCGAAGGTATTTTAGCGAATTTCCCTGTAGAGAAGTAGCCATTACCTTAGGTCTCATGGTAAGACTTTTTCATTTTGATGTTCGCAGAGGCCAAAAATATGATCCGTTCAAATTTTTTGTGTTTGTGTGTGTCCGTAAACGCAATAACTTGTCCAATTTTGTATAAAGGTGTAAGGTGGGATAAACTTGAATGAGTTCGCGAACCAGCATGATCGGACCATGGTAACAGGGTTTTACGGGGGGTTTTATGGGGTAAAAATTGGGGTTTCTCATTTTTGACCCTCAAAACACAAAATTTCTCTCTAGACCTTTTTAATGAGCTTAAAAAACAAATAACTTTAATAATTCTAAAAATTCTAAATTTAATATTCCCATGTTATTCTTATAGATAATATTGTAAAATGTTGTAGTTTGCTTGTTTATGGATATATTTTGATCAAAATTGGCAAATTTATTTATTTATACTTTTAAGCTATTGATATTTTACTAAAAAAAACACACTTGATTAGCTTCCTTGTAGCAGCAAACCTAGGTACTCGTTAAGCCTAATGTTAATTAAAATAGATTTAATTGAAAATTAATTCAGACAAATGGAAATTAGCTTAGTCTGCAGTTTTGCTGCAGCGGGGGTATTTTATATGTAGGATTTTTCTAATTTGTATCAGATTGAGTTAATAATTGTGTTAATGTTCTAGGAAGGCTGTGTAAGGCAAAGAAGGTCTTCTTTCACACAGACGCAGCACAAGCTGTTGGCAAAATACCTTTAGATGTCAATAACCAGAACATCGACTTGATGTCCATCAGTGGTCATAAAATTTATGGTCCAAAAGGTAAAAATACCTTCACTGATTGTAATCTCTTTGTGAACCCTACGAATTCAATATATTATTCAGTGATTTAATTATGTATAATTTTATTTGATGGATTCTCAAAGAATCCACCAACTCTAAAATTGTCCACTGTTTATTGTAGACTGTCGCTCCTCCCCAGCTCTACCACTGATGGACTCTTCATGTGTCGTACTGTACACCAAATCTGACCGAGATAAGGATTGAACCTTCAGTCTAAAGGGTCGTCTCAAATAAAACAATTAAACATACCTACTGTAGAGGCAATATATTTTAGACTGGATTTTGTCTCAAAATTAAAACTTCAATCCAACCAACCTGTATTCTGATATTAGGGAGCGAACTGTTGGGGAGCGAGCTGGTGTAGTGGTTAGAGCGCGGGAATTCAGTCCTTGAGGTCCCGGGTTCGATCCCCGCCAAGTCACCAAATTGATTTTATCCAAGTGATAATGCCGCAACCCTAGCCTGAAGTAATGTGAAAAACAATCCCAGGCTCGTTCCTATCGTCCTAGGAAAAAAAACCTGTATTCTGATAGTAAACAGAATATGAAAAAGTAATTACAAGCACAGATTGAAATGTTTTGAAGACCTTCATTTGTAAATAAAAGTTTCACAAAACACACCTTCAAACAAATGTACACAAATAATACATCAGGTTTAACACAAATAGTTCCAGCAGGATATTATATTTGGGTAGTAATGTGATGTTGTAAATCGTAAATGTAATTTTAATATGACGTATAGGTGTGGGAGCTCTGTATGTCAGACGTAGACCTCGTGTGAGAGTAGAGCCTCTACAGAACGGAGGAGGACAGGAGCGTGGCCTGAGGAGTGGCACTGTGCCTACCCCACTGGCTGTAGGACTAGGGACTGCTTGTCAGATTGCACAGGAAGAAATGGAGGTGAGTATTCGACTTTGTCGTGATTTGTTACTCAATTGTTTATCACTTGGATGTATATACCAACACAATTAAACGTAAAATTAATTTCATCATTTAATATAAGTTAATTTCATTATGTTAATTTATGCTACTAAAAAAAAGAACCAATACATTTTTTTTGTTGCTGTTTTGTTACTTGATTAAAATACAAACAGTTAGGATTATTGAACCTTCCCTCTCTATATATATTCATGGTTAGTGTACATTCAGAAGAATTTTTATCTTCTTTGTGAACAGCAACATTTACATGCATACAACACAAGGAGCAAAGAAAGTTTTAAATACCGATTACATAACTTAACAATCTATGAAAAAGGTCACAGTTACATGGATATGAAGTTTTTTAATAATCTACCTGCAAACATTAAAAGCAAAATCCGTTTAAAGAGTTTTAAGAATACTCTAAAAAAATCTTTTAAACCAAGTATTTTACTCTGCAAGTGACTTTTTATAAAATTAGGATTATTATGTAAGAAGGATAGGGATCAGCTAGCTTACCTGGTAGACAAGAGTCCACATTAGCCTTGGTAACATACATGAAACACATAACACAACACAGAAAAATGAATATTTCGTCTAGGGATTTCATCAGAAGGGAGAAGAAAGAAGGCTTTAAGGCCAACCTTAAAATTAGCAGTGTCCATCAGCAGAAGGTTAGGTCAGCAACTATCCTCTTGTTCACAAAACATTTTATTTAATACATTTTGCTTACTTGAACCTTTTTTATTAGTTAAATGATCCATTACAGAATTGCAAGTTTTAAATAATTTTGAAAGAAAATCATGCTGTGCTGCATCAAATAGAATCGCTTCGATTTGAATCGAAGTTCTTTGAATCACATTGATGCATCGAATCGAAAAAAAATACTGCATCGCACACCCCTATCCAGTAACAGTACAGTGGAGTCCCGATAATCCAAACTTCGGTAATCCGAAAGTCCGCTTAATCCAAAACCCAAAAATATATTTTTTTTATATTTTTTTATAAAAAAAATTTTCTTGAATTTTTGGAAATTTTTTTGAATTTTTTTTATGAAACTTTTAACACAGTTAGCTGTACCTCGTCAAAGTATTCTGTAGCGGCTGGGCGAGATAGTCTTTTTTTGTAGAGAGTATTTTAGTAAATATTTCACCATTTTTGTTATTACAGTACTGTAACATTTTTCATTTTCATCCGCCAAATCACAAGTGGATTTTATTAAGTGATAATGCTGCAGCCACTAGGTCTAGCCTTAAGTAATGTGAAAAACAATCCCGGGCTCGTGCCTGCGTCCTAAGACAAAAAAAAATTTAAAAAAAATATTTTTCAAAATTTTAAAAAAATAAAAAAAACAAAAAAACGTTTAATCCGAAATATTTGGTAATCCGAAATGGGCCCGGTCCCAGCCATTTCGGACTACCGGGACTCTACTGTATCACTTTGAGTCAAACCAGCAAAGCTATTTATTATAACGCAGCAAATAATTTGTGTACTCATTCTCTAACCTCTAAGCAAATGAATTTGGTTATGTTCAGTACGACCATGCTTGGATGGAGAAGCTGTCAACTCGTCTGATAGACACCATCATGTCAGAGCTGCCAAATGTTATCAGGAACGGTGATCCTGACCATGTATATCCTGGCTGTGTAAACCTCTCCTTTGCCTACGTTGAGGGTAAGAAGGCTACACAAACTTATTTTATAGCAAAAGCCTAGAAATACGGCATCTGATAGGCATCAACAATCTGGGATCAGTACAAGGAGCTTGAACAAGTTTTACTGAATTCGGTTGCGTTCACAAAGAAAGCTGGATACAAGCGCTTGCAAGTACCAACCAGTGTGAGAAAAGTCTACATTGTACCAAGCGTGTGCGTTCACAGACAAAGCTTGCCCTGGCTAGCAAGCGCTTGCTACAAGTGCTGACAAGCACGCAAGACCGTTTTGTACTTGTTTTCCAGTTTTTGTTGACCGAACCAGTCAGTGACAAACAACTGTGCCATATGGGTGTCGATGAACTGATATCTCAAGGCTTTAGAAGAGGGGCTATTTGGGACAAACGCCTCAAACTTGCTAATAGAGTTTCTTCAGGATGTAACTAAACGTGGTTAACTCCATTTTCATATAAGAAATAAACCTCCCTTTGTCCAATGTCAATAGAGGAAATTGAAGGTGGTATTCCACAAACCTTACTCTTCCACAGTTAATTGCATGAAAACGGTCTTCCCTTCCACGAATTTTTTATTCAACATTTTCAAGCAAAAACTCTTTATCACTTGATGAAGACATTGTCTTAACAAAAAACTAGCTTGAAACTAGCTTTTGTTGTGTACACACAACAAAATTCTCAAGCGCTTGGAGAAAGCGCTAAAAATATGTTACTTGTAACCAGCTTTCTTTGTGAACGCACCCTAAGCCTTCTAGGCATGATCACATGAGATCATACTTGGATGCTCTATTAAAGTGTTTTTTCAGCTATTTTATGAATAACTGCTACTTTTTATCATTGCTTATTAATCTGGAATTTCTGGTAATCTACTAAGCTAGCTTTTTGGTAATTTTTGGCATTGGCTAAGTCTTCAAGGTGCCGAATTAGAAAGAGTATACTGTACTTTGACACTCTTAAATTAATACTCCTTAACTTGGTTACATTTTAAAGGATAGCCTAGGGCATACAAGGACTTTTTTTAGAAAGTGCTTTAGTCCAGCAAGCTTTCTCTAGAAAAATAGCTTGTTTAGAAATAAGCGAGAACAGTTTGGAAGAATAGCAGTTGTATCATACCGACAGAAGTCAATTCAATTGTTAATATCCAGGTCATATCTATATGATTACTAGCTGTAACCCGCGGGCTTTGCGCCGTTTAACTTCTTAATTTTCAAGATTATCTCGTTCGCATGGCTCAATCACGTCCTGGTTGAAGTTTGTTCACTACGCTCACTCACCTTTAGGTTGGAGCTCGTTCGCTACGCTCACTCACCTTTAGGTTGGAGCTCGTTCGCTGCGCTCACTTGCCTTCAGGTTAGCTCGTTCGCTACGCTAACTCGCCTCCAGGTTGAAGTTCGTTCGCTACGCTCACTCACCTTTTGGTTGCAAATTAGCTGTTGTCATAAATGTAAAAGAAATAATAGTGCTGCACCCTGTTGGTAATCCTTGTAACTTTAATGCTATTGAACATCATAGAACAGAACCAACTTGTTTAATTGAAACAGCTGTTAAGATTCAATAATTCCATTTCTCATAAGGTTAACATGGGAAACTCCAGAGCCACTGGGGCGGAGCCCGAAAGGATTTTTGAAATAAGAATATGCCTATATGTTAATCGGGAATGTGAGCTATCATCATGCCAAATTTCAGCCCAATCCGACCAGTATTTTTCGAGTTTACTTTTCCCATACACACATACACACATACAGCAACCACCTCTTTTAGCGAATTTCCCATATAGGGAATAAGCTATTACCGTAGGTCTCATGGTAAGACCTACACTCAGGACCGATTTACTTTTTCATTTTGAGGTCCCTAGAGGCCAAAAACACCATCCGTTCAAATTCATATATATATATTTATATATATATTTATATATATATTTATATATATATTTATATATATATTTATATATATATTTATATATATATATATATGTGTCCGTTAGCACGATAACTCGAGCAAAAATGATCGGATTTGGATGAAATTTGGAATAAACGTGTAAACCTACATTTATTCGAACGAGCTCGCGAACCAGCATGATCGGACTATGGGAACGGGGGTTTATGGGGGGTTTTATGGGGTAAAAATAGGTTTTTCCCGTTTTTGACCCTAAAAACACAAAATTTGACAATTTCTTTTTAAACCATTTTGTAGAGCTTAAAAAAACAAATAATTTAGTATATTGAAGCGTTATTATGCGTCTAATTGTTACGGAGAAAATTCAAAAAAAATTTTAATTTTAAATTCCCATGTTATTCTTATGGAGAATAAGTCAACTGTTGTAGTTTGCTTGTTTATGAACATATTTTGATAGAATTTGTAAAATACATTCATTTCTTACTAAACTATTAACATTTTACAACAAAACACCTTTTTACCCTCCCTGTTGCAGCAAACCTAAGTACTCGTTAAACTAATTTTATTTAAATAGGGAACAAATGTGATATTTTTCAGGAGGCATTTTAGTGTACATCCAATCAGGCAAATCGAAATTCGCTTAGTCTGCAGGTTTGCTGCGGCGGGGGTATTTTATAATAGTATAGATAGATTTGTTTGTCAACTTACAGTAGGCCTATTAATAAATGAGGGGTGACATCTGTATTTGATGGTTAAAACACAAATACACAGTATTGAAGGAGTATGGATTTTGTTAATTACGAGATATGTATTACAGGTGAATCACTACTGATGGCACTGAAGGATGTGGCGCTGTCTAGCGGCAGCGCGTGTACATCAGCCTCCCTGGAGCCTTCGTATGTTCTACGAGCCATCGGAACTGATGAAGACCTGGCCCATTCCTCCATCAGGTCAGTTGATGTCTCTGTCAAAACTCGCTTGGAACACCTTAAGCTATTTAGGACACCTTTATGACAAGATATGACTGTATGTATACCCTATACATTAGTATGTTTAGGTAGTCAAGCTCCTTTTTACTCTCATCCTATACTCAAATTCCTCGCTGTATGCGGTTCCATTTTGCACTATTTTATATGAACGTGATTCACAAAAATGTTATTTTTATGTGTATGTACAGTTCTGTATGTAGGCTAACATAACATTGCTTAAAATGTTAGTTTTACTTATAGTAACTTATCAAAATACTTAGATTTTTTAGGATGGGTTGAAAAAATAATTTTTTACTGACGACAGTCTCTTAAATTGTATCTACCAGAATGTTTCTGCCACAAATAGTGAAATATACATATAAGTTTATGTTAGCTATGTTATTTACATAGACACAGTTATATGTCTCCCCTTCACATCCTAGGATACTTGTAGGATATTTATATAGTTGCGTATATGGAACTCATTATGTTATTTGATTTTTTTCGGGTTCTTTAAAGACAAAAGATCATTTCTTTGGTGTACAGTTTTGTTTTTGCTCAGGTTTGGATTTGGAAGGTTCACAACAATGGAAGAGGTAGACTACACAGCTGAACGGACAATTAAACATGTCAAGAGGCTGAGGGAAATGAGGTGAGAAACTAAATAATTCTTTCATACAAGTGGTGTCATGGATTCATAAAATAAATTTGTAGTTTTATATGGGTAGCAAAGAATAATATATGTGACTAGCTGTAACCCGCGGGATTTGCCCCGTTTAACTTCTTAATTTTCAAGATGATCTCGTTCGCATGGCTCAATCACGTCCTGGTTTAAGTTTGTTCGCTACGCTCACTCACCTTTAGGTTGGAGCTCGTTCGCTGCGCTCACTTGCCTTCAGGTTAGCTCGTTCGCTACGCTCACTTGCCTTCAGGTTAGCTCGTTCGCTACGCTAACTCGCCTCCAGGTTGAAGTTCGTTCGCTACGCTCACTCACCTTTTGGTTGCAAATTAGCTGTTGTCATAAATCTAAAAGAAATAATAGTGCTGCACCCTGTTGGTAATCCTTGTAACTTTAATGCTATTGAACATCATAGAACAGAACCAACTTGTTTAATTGAAACAGCTGTTAAGATTCATTAATTCCATTTCTCATAAGGTTAACATGGGAAACTCCAGAGCCACTGGGGCGGAGCCGATTGGACGGATCGCGAAATTGATGGTGTATAAACCTATTCCATGACATTATACACGTATGTACCAAGTTTCGTGGCAATCGGTTCAGCGGTGTCTGAGTTTATCACTGCCAAACAAATATATATACAAACATCCTCTTTTATACTTATAGAAGAGGCAGCCTATATTAAATGTAGGCCTACACCAGGTGTATACACCTATAAATCAATAAATCTAACCATTTTATATATCCAATCCAACTCCAAGGTTTGCTTTTTGCTTCAGCATCCATGTTTTGTGCTCGAAATATAACCCTTTTTAAAACTCCCCTAATAAAAAAAAATTGATCCCAGATAAGTTTTATATGGTGTACAACAATCCAATGTTGTATATTTTTTAAGGACAACATAATAGGAAGTTGTTAAGTTTTGTACCTCTTATATTTTTCTTTCTTTCCTCCATTAATAATACAGAATGTCACTACTTATAGAAAGTGTAAATAATAAGTGTAAAGTTGGTATTCTAAGTATTATAGCGTATGTCAACTTAATTTATTTTTGTAATATTCTATTCTATTTCAGCCCCCTATGGGAAATGGCACAAGAGGGAATTGATCTAAAATCAATCAAGTGGTCTCAACACTAAATTTCTACAGGACATTTTCCACAATCAACAACCTGATAAAATTAGTGTAAAATTAAGCATGTCACTTATTGTTGCACTCATATTTTTAGAATAATGATTTGAAGACATAATTACAATATACCCGTTGGCTGTAAAAATGTTCTGTTTCTATATTTAGAATATAGTGTAAAGTTGATGTATATGAAATAAATGTGATACTTTATTTTATTATTGTTATTTTATTGTTGTTGTATTATTGTGGATTATTGTTATTAAGGTGGTTTCTTATAATGTTAATAGAAAATGTTATGACTGTCAAAGATATCCTTATACATAATACATGAAGGCGATTTTTACGAAACACTACTCCTCCGTTAATAACTGACGGATTTCTACAAACAATGTGTCACAATTAAGTATTTTTTGTTTAGACGCCCCTTTCACCAATTCCTGTAATAAAAATCCTCGGGCTTTGCCCCACCACAGGCTATCTAAATCCCAATGTGTTTCTTATGAAGAAAAGATTTTGTTTACTTAAACAGAAAAATTATTTGTATTAACAGCTGTTATAGTAAACACATGAAACACAGAAGAGTATTTGTTTTTAGAGTGAGTTCGTTTTCAGTTTCGATAACTGGAGTGGAGTGATAGTAATCTTACCTGAACACATTCTCTAACACAACACCAAAATTTAAGCTCCAGCTTTCTCATCAGGGCAGGGCCATGTCAACACTACTCACTCCTACTCTAGCATCTCCAACACCTCACAAAACCTTTCCCCTGATCAAGTAGTACACCGACCCACAACAGCCTTCCGTCGTAGGTCAGCAACTAGCATATCAAGTTTTTCAACTCTTGGAAGTTGTTGACTATCTATCCTTTTCACAAAACATAGCCAAAAATTCATTGTACAGCTGAAGTGAAACTATGGGGGGGGGGGTAGCGGATTTTTATCCCCCTGGGCGAAACTGATGTCACAAGCCAGGGGGTAAAATTCCGGCTGCCAACTTTTGAGCTGCACTTTTGAGTTTGATGGATTAAAGGGGGAATTAAACGTACATTTTCACGATTGTGAGTTTATAATCAGAACACATCAAATTGTAAAAACCTAGAGTGTACGGGCAGGAATTTTACCCCTGGACTTTTTACCCCCTTCATGAGGTCAGCTCAAAATGTACGGCCCGGATTTTTACCCCCGGAATGTTACCCCCCGGCTAGATATAGAAATAAGTGAGAATGATTAATTTTATTCTTTCAGTTTAATTTAATAGTAAACATGTTATTATTAAGTAGTTTATCTTAATTTATTTGTAGCCTTAACTAATCAAACAGGGTTTGAATTTTAATTTTAATATTCGAGTTTCTGGACTCAATTTTTAGGCCAACTGTTGGTTAATATGTATGTACAAACATTAGGGTTTCCATGCAGTAGTCAACACAACAATTGGTCGAATATTTTTTACCGGATGCCTACAATTACATTTTACAAAAGGTATTTCGATGACCTTCTTCAGTACAAACCATAAATGGCTGTGCCTGAAGAAACAAAATGGCATATTGTGTTATTGTACAACAGAAACTAAATACATTTTTTTTCCATGGCGGTATCGTAAATTGTTAAAGAAATGTTCACCCAATTATTATTTAAATTTGATAACTTACTCAGTTTATTATACTGTACATAATTACATATTAATTAATCAACAGTTGGCCCCAAACCCAAATCCCGAATATCAAAATTAAACTGCAAAACCTGTTTACTTAGTTGAGATTACGAATAAATTAAGATAGACTAAACTTAATAATAAAATGTTAAAATAATGTGTACTAAAATTAAAATTGAAAGAAGAAAATTAATCATTCTCAATGATATCTATATCTGGCCAGGGGGTAACATTCCGGGGGTTAAAAATCCAATGGTTGAAATTCCGGAAGGGGGGGAAATCCAGGGGTAAAAATCCGGGCCGTACATCTACAGGTGTCTTAACGCTAGTTATCAAATCAAATCAAATCAGTTTTTATTTCCACAATATATAAAAAATTTACAATTTTTCAAAAAAATAAAATACAAATATATATAGTCTTGAAGCATTATAGAGTAAATTGATTACGTAAATTAATTCTAGTAAAAGTAAATTTACAAAGTTATAATAGTAAAAACTTAAATACTAGATGAATGTTTGCTCCGGCTTGAATAATAACTAATGTAATAGGGAAATGAGTCTACATGGACCTCAGTGGTCTGTGCGTAGACTCGAGTTGTTAATAATATTATATATATTTTTTGAGCTAATTTGAAATTGAAGAAAAAGTTTAAGATTAAATATGGACAGGATTATATGGACAGGGGGTGAAATTTCGGTTTTTATTGCTAATCTAATTTATCACGTTCTGTCTATTTTCATTAGACTTCCAAATCCGTGGGGGTAAAATTCTGCCCACGAACAAACTTTAGAGCGCTCAGGTTACTTCCTCATAGTAACGTCAGCTTTGCCCAGAGGTAAAATTCCAGGCGGATAAAATTCTGGCGACCCGAACTGTGTAGGTGTATGGATATGGGAGTGGGAATATTTGGCAGGTATTTTCTCCCTAATGCTTGTAGAGTTCCCCTATTTTCAGGGTAAGACAGGCCAAACCCCATATACCCCCTATTTTTGGGGCAAAAGGAATTCATTGTAATATTTTTTTTCATTTTGATGGATTAATTATATTTTCCTCAATTCAAATACACAATTTTTGTACCATTTATCTTACCCACTTCTCCCATTAGGGGTTAAACCCCCATTTTCTTACATGTAGGCCCCTGGGGAGTCAGTATGTTGCAAAGATGCTGGGGGACTGACGTTAAGTGTCCCCCCTATTTTTGGGGCAAGAAATTCAATGGAACAATAGGCATCATCCTAACATCACCCCTTTTTTACTTATGGGGGGGTTAGTGTACATGTAAATGGCTCGAGGGAGTTGGTATGTTGCAATGAAACTGAGGGACAAACTGTATCCCCTAATTTTAGGGTGAGAAATAGGTTCTGTGGAACTTTCGCCATCCTCATAAATAGGTGGTGTACGACGTTTGGATCATCTTACCCCAAAAAATGGGTAGGTAATACAAGGATTAGGGAGAAAATCCCTGCCAAAAATCCCCTCTCCCCAGAGCCACACATCTAGCCGGAACTGTAATATTGACTAATTGTTTTTACATTACTTGTTATGTACAACTGATGTACAGAGTACTACATGCTATATGTAGTGCTAGTGCTACATGTTACACCAAACATGTAACAAAGTGCTACATGTTTCGATGAACTGGCATTGTTAAAAACTTCATTCCTGGATGTTCACACACTTCATTTCTCATGTAGCATTTTGAATATTACAATTTGGAAAAAAATACATGTAATGTAAAACAATTAGTCATAGTAAAATAGTTCACCACTTTTGTAGAATATCAGGTATATTACATAGTCTAAATCTTTGGATATCTAATCGGAGGAAGAACTACTGACCAGTGCGTTTGGTAGCTGCATGGTTACAATTATTTAGCAAGCTTTTGCAGTATATACCGCCTTTCTTTACTGACGCCAGTGTTCTTTTCTTTATCTTCTTACTCTTACATAATAAATATAACCTCCATCTCCATCCTTCATGAAGTGAAGTCTGCAGTCGGCTCGATTATCAGACTAGGCTATTAACTATTCAATCAATATCTCATTTAAGTTAATAATTTAATCATAAGTATACCTTGCTAATAGCTCAGTTCTGAATAATCATGGGTGAGACGACTGGTTTATCAGATGCGGAGGCCAAGGAGTTGTGCCTCCAACCAGAACCAGAGACCAAAGTAAGATTAGACTCTTCTGTAGGCCTACTTGTTTAGAAAATACTGGAATCCTTGATAATTTTCCAAGCCATTTATAAAACAAAAAAAAACCTTATAAACCGGAAACTTAACTTATGTGGCTCATACAATTTTGATTTATAGGCTAGCCTAGGCTTCAAACTGAAGCCAACAATTTCATAATGTTTGTAGGCCTAGGCCCTACTAATAAACAAATAACTTAACTATCTAACTTAAGGCCTAGCAATGATAGAATCTGTTCTACCGATCCTGATCAGTGACAACAAACAATGTCATAGGCTAGGCCTAACTTATTACGAATATAAAAAAAATAAGGCATAGAAAGAACATTTAGAGTACTGGTAGGCCGATAGGTAAAAATATAAATCCCTAGGCTACATGTTCGTAATTAAAACAAGTAAATTAGGGTAAATATGCACCTTAGGGACTGCACCCAATTTTTGATTTTTTTTCTCCATTCTAATCTAAATTCAATGCTAATTCCGAAAATAACATTCTTTTTCTGCGGAAAATTACTTACGAAAAACCCCCAAAACATAGGCTATCAAAAACATCATTCGACAGCAAGCTTTTTCGAAATCGTTCCCTCAATTTTTAACTAAAACTATAACTTACTCCAATAGCTATAACTTAACCAATACAAATTCAACACAATTAACAACCCAGTAGACTATAACCTCACTTAACCTGCCTAATCTAACCTAACTTAACTTCAAAACACTTTTAATGCAGCCACGAATCCACATACCCTGACTCTCCCGAGCCCCACATGCTTAAATATAGGATCAGATACAATTTGTGTTTTCATAAAGTTCTTATTCATTTCATTAAGGGCTTATTACCCGACTAACTTAATCACCCTTTTATCCCAATGGTTAACCATGTTGGATGTCCCCCCACCCAAAACCCCACCAGTCCCCTATTGATTTGGGATTATTGCTGATATAATATATGTAATTAGTACCTATCACATTTTTGTCAATATCTCGCTTATTTGACAGTGAAAAAAAAATTTTCGTGCGTATTCGTGATCTGCTCCATATTCTGATTCATTTCAGAGTAACCACATGACGTGTTTTGAAAAAAAATGTTTTATAACGTTTTTGACATTTTTTCAGATTTATTGTCATCTTCCACGGAATAAGAACGCCATTGTTGGAATCAGCTTTGAGTTTAAAGTAGAATAAAAAAAAAAAAAAATGGGTGCTAGATAGGGCCTACCCTAAAATGTGAATTTGACCTAACCAAAATTAGTCAGCTTAAAATGTGCATTTCTAGCTCTAAGCTTCACATTATTATCCCTAGGCCTAACGATAACTTAAGTAGGCCGAACTACAAATATTACTATCAAGTTAGTCAACGATAATTTGTCTTAATTAAGTTATACCGGTATTACCTAACTTTTTTTCTATTCCATTTAAGTGTCTGAATTAAGATTTCATTATCATTGCATTTTCATTTGAGGTAGGGGACGCCACCTATGTGAGTGTTTTAGCCCAAATATGAACCCAACGATCAAGGACACCTGGGTCCAGTTTCTAACCTAAAAGCTTCTCACCTTGGATGAATTGGCCACCTTTTGATTACTGATTACACTGAGCTACCCAGGTATTGTAAACAATTATTCCGGGTACCAATCATCACCTCTGAATGTTGCTATGTTTTGCAGGAGTTCATCATGCAACAAACCATGTACCGTATTAAAGACCCAAGGAAATCACTACCTTTCTACACTAAAGTTCTTGGTATGAGACTATTACAAAAACTGGATTTCCCGGAGATGAAGTTCTCTCTATACTTCATGGGCTACGAGGATGCCAGCTCCATTCCATCTGATGTTAAAGAACGAACGGCTTGGACTTTTTCCAGAAAAGCTACAATTGAATTGACCCAGTATGTTTGTACAATTTGGTATAAATTAAGAACCACTATTATTTTTGCTTTAAAAATCCATTGAAGGGCTTTGCTATTTTCTAGATTAACTACTTCTATTAGAGTAACTAAGCCTTCTTTCAAACCATGTGATTCGGGCTGGCCTGAAAGGCCCTTACATTAGCTGCCCGGAACCGGGTGTTTCCAAACTGAACTTTTTGACTTTAAGGTGTATTTGTGATTGAAATGAATAACTGAAAAGTGGTTATGCTTTACTTGTTGTCTAAAAAATAATGTAGAACGCCCCGTGATAAAGACGCTTCCAGGACAGTATTTGGTGTGTATAAATAGGCCGATTGATTGCATTTTAAAAAGTTATGGTGACAGCTCTGCAGGTTGACGAAGGAAAGATCTTAAAAATTCTATAAAATGTCTACGACATTGTGATTTTAATTCTTAACATACCTCCCCCCATGTTTCCGTTACCACCACATTACAATCATGGTCTACTTTCATTCTATAAGCAAATGCTTTCCTATACGTAAGAAGATTTTTGTAGGTGGCACAGTACGGTAACATCTAGACCTGGGACCAATGTTTTTGGTTTGTTGGCTCCAGAAGAGAAAAACAGTAATTAGCAGTTCAAATTTTGATAGGCGATACCTTATATATGTACGTATTTTAAACTTATGAGGTTTTGATAAAATAACGCTTCATTACATTACAATAGAAGCAAACTTAAAGACTCATTAAACTTAATGTTATCTAAATGTGGAATAAATCAGAAGTGTTAAATGAAATATTTTAGCATAAATTTAACTAAGCAAATGGAAATTGGTTTTCTGTGGCGAGGGTATTGTCCCACATCACTGGCCTTCAAATCTAACCTAAATATAATGCTTGACCAAACTAATCAAGTGCTTGATGTTAATTTCTTCCTCTTTATTACAATTTATGTATGTAATAAAGTAAAAAATACTGTTGCAGCAAACCTACACCCTAAGTGAATCTCCATTTGCCTGATTGGATATTTACTAAAATATTCCCTTAAAAAATGACATATTTTATTCCATATCTAAATTATATCAGTTAAACCGTTAAACTTTAACGAGTAGCCTACCTACTTATGTTTGCTGCTAGAGGGAATAGAAAATGTTTTTGATAAAATGTTATATTTTAATTTTGGTAAAATAGTATAGAATGGTACTTATAAATTTGATCAAAATATATCAATGAAAAACAAACTTCAATATAGTTTACTTATTCTCCACAAGAATAACATGCAGATTTTAAATTTAAGGTTTTTATGGAATATTCTCTATAACCAGTCTGGGGACCTCAAAACAAAAAAGTAAATCAGTTCCGGGCCCAAGACTTAAACTGTATTAGCAACTAGCAATAGCTTACAATTTGCCTTTTTTATTGGATGTACATATGACTTTTGAACCTGGGAAATTATTATTTGTATTATTATTAGTATTATTTGGAATCAAAATCAGTTGTGGACTATATTATTTTAGCCCTATGATAAACTATTATACTACTGTATCTCATTATTTTAATTGTTGATCAATATTTTCCTAGCAATTGGGGAACAGAAAGTGATCCAGATTGCAAGTACCACAGCGGAAACGAAGACCCGAAAGGATTTGGTAAGGCTTTTTGTAGTTCCCTCAATACAGTAGAACCTCAATTACTCGAACCTCAATATCTCGAATTCCTCAATATCTCGATTTTTTTTTTAAATCCCCTTGAAATCCACATTAATCATAATGTTAAAAGTACCTTTATAAGTCGAAGTTTCTAAATATTTAACCTCAATAAGTCGAATTTTAACAGCTTTTGAACAGTAACATTCTACCTCTATAACTCGAATTTTCCCGTCATCGAGCCTCAGTAACTCGAAGTTTACCTTTATAAGTCGAAGTTCGCATGAATGTGCCTCAATAATTCGAAGTTTTGCCATAACAGTGCAAGTCAGTTGTGATTCCTGTCGAGACGTGAAAATCAAACTTCCTGTGTTTGCTTCCCGTGTCTGTTTGGCTAGGCACTGTAGTCAGTGTAGTTTACCCGTTTTGCCAAAGTAGATTCAGTACTTAACTACATTACGATGCATTTTGTTTATTATTTTAATCACACTAGAATTTTCCCTAAAAGCTGGGTTTTCCTAGACGCGGAGTCGGCCAGCGGAGAGCGGACAACCGAGAGCGGAATTGAAATTAACATGGCATTCCGCTCCGCTGCTAGGAAAACAGTAACATTAAATTACCTAAGACCAGCTGAGTCCGCTCTCCGCGTTCCTCTCTCCGCTGGCCGACTACGCGCCTAGGAAAACCCGGCTTTAAATATTACTCTCTACAGTCTACATACTTTTTGTATGTACAGTATTGTACCTATTCAGTATTTTTGTTGTTACAGTACCTAGCTTGTTTTTACAGTACATATAAAGAGGTTGACTAACGTTTGCTTTAATCAAACATTATACACAGTAAATGTAGTTCCGTGTATGGATGATATATACTGTATTATTGTTTTGTACAGTATTTAAACTATTTTTTTTGTCATTTAACATGTTTTTTATGTACTTTATCAAACTTATTGCCAAATAATAAATACAGTACTTTATGTGCATTCAAATTGTTTTATTTTGCTTCCAAAGTTACTCTTCAGTAAGTTACGTATAAATACAGTTTGAGTTCGATTATTAAGGTTTAACATGTATAAGTCGAGTTATAAAGGCCATGACGTAACATCACTGTCAGACCCCAACACCTCAGTATCTCGAACTTTTTCATATGGAACCTTCATAACTCGAACCTCACTAACTTGAAAAACTTGATAACTCGAATTTTTATCATAACCCCTTCAGATTCGAGATATTGAGGTCCTACTGTACTACAACTTAGTAGGCCTATTATGGTTAAGCTAGCCTAGAAGGGCAAAGCTGGAGAAAGTGGTATAATGTCATGGCACTAAATTTTCTAATAGACTAGCTGCTAATTAATTTTTCAGATGTTGTGATTCAATAATCACTCTTTACCACACAGAATTAAAACAACTTAAAGATAACTGGTTTGGGATGTATTGCTGGCCTAAGTGCTAAGCATCTCGGACATCGGTCTGGGAGGGACAGGGTCAGTTTCTGGCATTTCCATTTAGTGTGGTTGGTACTTTTATTGAAACTATCAATGCAGGATTCAAAGCATGGTGGACACTTACAAAAGAAAATTATACATCAGCTGTTACACATTAGAAAATAAAGAAACCACCAAGTCTTGTTCAGTATTATTTTTCTCTATTCTTCCCTAAAATCTTTACCGAATTCAATTTGTACTCCCTCCTATTCTTATAAATTTGAATGTGTGGCCTGTGTTTTCTAATGTTTAACTCTTTGTTAACCATGCCTTCCTTTGAGATAGTTTTCTTGACAAGATCTTGTTTTTTATATATCCATTTACATTTTTTTCAGGTCACATCGGCTTATGTGTACCAGATGTGAAAGCAGCTTGTGAGAGATTTGAGAAACTAGGTGTGCCGTTCAAAAAGAAACTTACCGATGGTAAATATATTGATACAAATAATTTGCAAGTTTTTAAAATAATGTTTATCTCCAGGAAGTAAAGTCATTATTCCTCTTAACCCCCATTGGTTTCATCATGCTGCTTAGCTCTGTATTAACAGATTACAGGTATTTTAAAGACTTTTTCAGGATTTAATCAGCATATTTGTATTTTTGTTGATCCTGTTGATTCCTCTCAGACACCCAGTTACATTAAGCACAAGTGTTAGTTTACAAGTAGATATTTTACCTCTATGAATGAATACAAACCTATTAAGAAGCGCAATGCTTTTGTTAAAAATTCAGTCTGGGAATATTTGAATTTTGGATAGTTCCTGCGGCGGTCGCTTGGTGGGCTATCGCGAGCGCACGGCTGACTGAATGAGAGAGAGTGAGACAAAGAATCGGTAGAGAGAGAGAGAGAGATAGAGTAGCCCGGCCACGCGCAAGTGATCCTAGCGGCGGCCGCGCAAAGTTCATTTCGACGGCAAAATTCCAGTCTGACTATTCTCCATAAGCATTTGTATTCATTGCCTCTATACGCACAGGTCAACACACTCAACTGTTATCAAACATAAACTTTTGCAAGTTTGTTTTTCTTTACCTCAAGTTTACTAAATACTTGAAATGCTCGTTTTATGTGGTAAAGGGGAAATTGCCAGGTAAATTGGGGGGGAGGGGTTGCGCGACTGGGTTTGGGGGGGATGAGCACGTCTGGATTCATGTGTCACAACCCTATTAGGGAGTATAGATTTGAAGAGAAAGGGCTTATTGCCTGAGAATAGGGGAGAGAAAGGATAGGATAAGCAGGCTTACCTTAAGAAATGTAGGCATCCCTTTTCATTCACTACAGAACACAGAAGAAAACACAAAATAAAATTAAATATCTATCTATATATATAATACGCTAAGCCAATTTTTGTAAATAGAACTCCGTCCTCATTTTTGGACCGATTTTGATGATTAAAGTGTCATAAAAATGGCCCTGGTCTGTAGTTTTGCAAAAAGTTTTTAATTTTTTGAAATCTTTATTAGTTTGGGCAGGATATTCCATCAAAGTTGGGTTTTCTCCCATTATATTAACATGGGGGGATCTAAAGATTTAATTGGAAACTTTGTCTCCACTACTTTGAGAGAACGGCTGGGTATAGAAACTTGGTAGGGGTGTCCAAAGAAAGGTTTTGGTCTGTATATGAGCCATCAAAAGAAAAACAAACTAAATTTCCTTAGGACTCTGTCCCAGAAGCCTTTAAAGTCCCCTTTCCAGATTTGTTTACATTATCGTCTAATGGATGATTTTTCACTACTTTTTAATGAAACCGCTGTTAATATTTAAATATTTTAAACAACACATATTATAGGGAGTTACTGAGTTTGTCAAAAAGAAATATTTGCAACTTGTAATTTTATGATTTTAAAATTTATTTTGTTCTGCATCATCTCATGTTTCGCAATAACGTTCAATTACAAAATCATTGGAACATAATATTACAGTCACTCTTAAAATGATTTCTTATAGAATTATCTTATATCTATTGTACGGGTTGGGTTCTGCCTTTTTGACTACTTTTGCCGATATTTTGTCATATTATTCAAGACAGATCATCATAGGTTCATGAGATTATTTTCATACATGTTTTCAATTATTGGAAAAGATTTTGATTGTGTAATACAATACAAAATAAAATAATACAAGTGCAGAAGGGCACGTTGCCCATTTGAGCTGTGTCCATATTTTGTTAAATTAATAGGGGTTTACAGCAACTGAATTAATTTTTTAATAATTTTTAAGAAGAAATACGGTCATGATTTAGAAAGTAATTAATTTGCAAAAATGCAATTTATTGCAGACTTTTAGAGATGTTACTTCGATGTATTCATTCAGCTTAGTGAAAACACAATAGAGCCTTTGGATGTTATTAAACTAATGAAAAGGGTTTTACATGTTTACTAGCGCTACTCAGCAACAAAAACCATTTAATTTATCTCTAAAGGAAAATTTCTCAAAGTGCACCAGTAACTTATCCAGATAGTAACATAAACAAAATGCCCAAACTCGATACTAAAAATAATTTCAGGCCAGAGCCATTTTAATGCGCTTGGATTGTGCCATTTACTAATTCGGCTTATATTTCTCTTAACCAAAGGATTATTCATCTGCAGAAGAAGTTCATTGTGCTCTTATCGTGTCTAATAACATCCAAACACAGAAACCTTGCTTAAAATAGTACCTATATCTTGACAGATGTTTTGCAGTGGCCTATTACAGACCGTGGCCCATTTAGCATGAGATTTGTGAAAATAACACTACACTTCGACTGTAATACAAATTTCACAAAGTGTAATTACCATTTAAGCAGTTACTGTCATGACAGAAAGGTCGTGTTCCTTTTGAACTAGATATCCTCATCCTTTCTAAGAAACGTTGATTAACAAAAATGCATGTAAATGCCACTATTTATGTAACAATTTACAGTATTTGCTTTTTGGAAATGCAGCATTGCTTTGTCATTTGCATTATTTGTTGCCAATGAAGCCGCATGACCATATGAACGAGGTCCTTCATTTCAAGAATAAAAGCTAGCCTCACTACAAGTATATTCCACTACACCTAAGATCCCGAAGATATATTATATTGAACACTTTATGTAATTGATAATGCTGAGACAACTGACATCCGCATGTCATGGAATCAAAGTTATGCAAAAAAATATTATTGCTTAATTTAGAGGGCTATTCATTGGCACAGAACGGTATGATGACCGACGTGACGAAGGAAAAATAAAACTTACACAGCTTTAGGGTGGGCCTCCCTTTGAAGTAAGAACGTGCCTTCTCAACAGATATTTTTCTAAAAAAAAACACAGATTTAATCTTCATAACACTACTGATGAAATCGCATATAACTCCAATGATGGACGGTGTAAGAAATATTGTTCCTACATCTATTTATCACTCATTAAACAATGCTAAAAGCTCACATTTATTATAATTTCACTCTTTTTGTGGCAGTTAGAATAATTGTCGTAAGCCTTTAAAGTAATCCTAGTAATAAAATAAATAGGGATGGTCAAGTCTCGAAATTTCGGGAAATTTACGGGAAATTTTAAATCTCGTTACACGAGACAAGATTTCTTTTTGGCCGAGATTTTTATCGAGACGAGAATAAAAAATAAAAAAAATTCAAAACGCCTGCAGAAAGTCAATGCAATACCCGCAATACAGGAGCGTGTTGTAGTTGCGTTTCCTTTGCGAAGGCGTTCTTATTTAATTAATTCTTTAAATGTAAATATTACTTTAAGAGGCGGCGGGAGCCAGCTCGCCCGAGCTCAGCGCTGCCCGCTAGTTTAACATGGAGCGGCGACACATTTTACTTATTTCAGGAAATATATAGACATTTACAAAAAAAATGGAACACTAGTAATGTTTGTCACTACATATGCTACTATATAAAGTATAATAAACCATTATAAAGTTGTTTTTTAATTTTATATACATGAAATACGTAATTTGATTTCCCATAAGGATTTCGGTAAATTAGTTCAACTGTAACTAACATATATTTTAATATTTGTAATTGAAATTGGTACCATCACAAACTAGAATATTTCAGTTTTTGTTTGAGTGTACCACATCTAAAAAATAAAATCTCTGAGTAATTAATTTGATCGTTTTAAAAAACCTTTGTCATCAAGGGTTCCGCAGCACACGGACAAGCGACTGAGGTAGTTCAGCGGTCCTACGCTAGGGTGCACTAGCGTCGCACAGTCTTGAGAAACAAAAACACGCTAAGCATGAGTAGTATGACAGATATTCCAATCACTTTCGCTGAAGTGGATGCAAGCCTAATACATTGTTAAGAATCTAAACGCAAACTGAAATTGTACAAGTTTAGCTCAATTTGTCTCTAGGTCTATAGGGAAAAACTAATTGAACTATGATTTAAAATAATTATATTTTTTACCTCGATATCTTAGTCAATACTATGTGTGAATAGTTTAATTTTATTATTGCTTTTTATCTCATGCAAAAAAACCTATTTTTATATTTTTTTACTACCTAAATTATCACTAGATGTAATGAAATTGTAAAACTACATCTAACCTGCAACGTTGTGATATAAATCTATGTTTTTCTCGCGTTATTGTAATAACCAATTGAATAGAACGTATTACAGTTAATTTTAATAAGTATGTTTCGTTATCTTTTAAAAAAAGGTCTCAATTTTAACTATAACACGTATCCTTATATAAAACCTTATAAAGTTGTTTCATGTTTATATTTAAAATATGTTTCCTTATACAAATGAAGTATTCTATGCATCGATGTATAGTCAAGAAATATATACGATGACTCCATTTTATCCAAAACACTAGCCATAAATCATGTTTTAGAAAATTCTCGTTCCTAGGGGCGAGGAGTTCCAGGAAAGGTGTGAGAGAATATCTGTATTTGTTTATAGATTTCCTCCTCACCCTATCTCGGCGATTGTCTGTGTGGTTGTTAGCAGCTAGCATTGTTTAGTCTACACGCGCTGGAGCTGGACACAGTACCTACGATATTCGTGTTTATATTGGCCTAGTGGATGTTCGTGTTACAGTGCGCGATATGTTATTTTCCTTGTGATTCGAGGCTAATGTAAGTTGTGTCAGTTTGGAACAATGGGAAATTGAAACGAACGAACAGAACGACTGAACAGAGTGGCTGTAGCGAGTGGCTGGAGATTAGAAGAAACATCATCACAGCATCAAACTTCGGGAGGATTTGTAAAATGAGACCCACTACAGGCTGCGAGTCCATCGTGAAGCAGCTGCTTTACTCTTCATTCGATTGTGAAGCCATGAGGTATGGGAGAAGCAATGAAGAGACAGCACGCCAAGACCTTCAACAACACATAGGCGAGGAAATAAAGAAATGTGGGCTATTTATCGACATTGACTATCCCTATCTTGGTGCAAGTCCCGATGGATTGGTAAATGACGATGCAACGGTGGAAATAAAGTGCCCAGCGTCTGCCAAAGACTTGACTCCTGATGAAGCAATTAGGAAGAAAAAGTGTACTTTCTGGTCATCAAACAAAAAAGGAGAGATTGGAGAAATTAATAAAAAACACGCCTTTTATTACCAAATTCAAGGCCAGCTACATGTTACGAAAAGGGAATTTTGCATTTTTTGTCTATGGACTCAAAAAGGAATAAAAAGCGTTGTTGTAAATAGAAATAAAGAATTTTGGGAACAGGAAATGTTTCCTAAGCTAACACAATTCTACATGAACTGCGTCCTCCCAGAACTAATAGACCCTCGAAACAGTAGGACTATGCCAATTAGAAATCCTGGATACATTTTGGAGGCTCAAGAAAAAGCCAAGAAGAGAACAGACAAAAGAACAAAAGAAATAAGTTTGTAAATAGTTGTACAAAGCACGTCAAGAAAGCATTGTATCCTAATATAATTTCAAATATTTTTTTGTAATTTTGTTTTAAAGCGATTTTTAAACTTTTAGGCTTATTGGTTTACTTATATGTTCAAAATAATATATTGTACATAAGTGTTTATTCATGTTGTAAAATTATATAAAACTATATGTTGGTTGCAATACTTTAAAATCATATTGACATAATTGCTATATTCATTTTGTTTTGTGTGAATTAAGTAAACTGATTAATACAGTTTTACTTGTGCTTTGTGAATATTCAGTTACAGATATATTATTTATTTAATAGATTTGCCTTACCGTTTTATTTTTACTTATACTGTATATTCAATTAATTGTACATATTCATTTTTAAAATTATGTTGTAAATAACTATAGAATATGAGACAGGTTTTTACTCTACTGACCCATATATTTTTCATTCATTATGCAATGTTTCAAAATGTTTTTATTTTATTTCAAACATACCGGTACGGTACGAGTATAATTAATTAATTACAGATATACATTTATTAGAACTGAACTGCCCTCCTGTAGTTGTGTTACTGATATATATATTTAATAAAATGTACATATAAACATTACATTAAGTGTGGGTTTTAAACTTTTAAAAATTATGTTTTAAATAACTGTAAAATATCAAACTTGTTTTTACTCAACTGGCTCATATATGTTTTATTCATTATTGTAATGTTTCCGAATGATAAAATTGAATTTGAAACTAAAATCACTTTCCTAATTATAAATGGATTAATATAACATAACGATGTTTTATTATATATTCCTACAATGCACATTATTATATAATATTTTAGAATTAAGTTCTATTGGTGCTTTTATTATTATTGATGGTATAGTTTCAAATCAAAGATAGATAACTGTGCAGGTAGCTGGCCAATTTTAAATATAACACATCAATTTTTGATGTATTGCACCTAAAACAGAGAGCCTTCGGGCAGTTCCGTACATCATTCTTGTTTGGAAATTGCAGGCAATAGAGCAAGCTAAATTATTTCAGGGTGATTCGCAATGCATTTTTTAGGCTGATATGGCACTTTTAGTATACTTTAAAAATAAAAACCAATTGTGTAAACAGACAACATTGTTATAGTTTCAGCAGTATGCCTTGCGAGATGGTTATTCGAAGGATTTGAATATGTTGATATTTTTTTACTGTACAAGACGAATTTACTGACATTATTGCCAGTATGGGGTTCTACAGATATTTTGTCATACTTGGACCGCGCACGCTTTAGTACAATGCGAGTAGAGGAAGCGTTCGATTCCTGGACACGCCTGTACACTGGCAAAAATGTGAAAGTTAGAAAATAGGCGACCCTTTACCCACTCACTCGCACGAACACAATGGGACTACCTGCTGGGCTCTGTCCTATCATCCGTTAGTGACGAATGATAATGTGGTTTACTAAAATAAAAACTACCAATACTTGTTGTTTATAACGTTTGATAGTGATAATGTTATGAAAATAAATACACATTCACAGGGAAAACAAGAAATATACAACGTAAAATATACTCCCTAAGAAATTTATGGAGTTGAGAAAAATCAACAGTGTTTTTACATTAAAAAGGGAAGACCACCTACTTGCATTTAAGACAATTATACGAATATGCCTCACATTAGGGCCTATTTGTAAGTTGTAACGAATTTGATTAAAATAACATTTCACTCATGGATACAAAAATACTTACCCACTTTAATACAATTTACTAAACAACACGCGTTGAAATCGTTCAACGTACATACCGTTTTTATTACATGAACTGTTCTTTTATACAATCTTAGACATACAAGTCGTTTAATATGAATTTTATTTAAAAATTAGTTTAAAGATTAGTCAAACTTGTTGTAACTTACGTTAGTACATATCGGTTTAGTCGTATTTACATTTTTGGAAATTATTTTTAAAATTCTTTAAAGCAATTGAAAGACTAGCTACTAACCAAATGTTAAAACTGTTCATATGTTGTTTAGAATGATTATTTTGTTAAAACTGTTTTGAAACGTATGTTAGTCAAATCTAAGATTTAAAAAATGGTTGATATAATTATTAGGATCTTTGATAAAATTTTAATCGCTCAAACAAACATTCTTAGGAAAAAGCTTCAAACTGATTTTTAAATAACGATAACTGTAATAAAACTTAGGCCTATATCTAAACATTGTTAAAAATGGTTTTAAAATAATTCAATCTTGTATCAAAGTTATATCAATGACTTGTACTACAATTGTTTCAAAGTGGCATAGCAAGCTATAGTGAAGGTCAGGTCAGACCCGACCAAACCCGACAAACATTCAGCTGTTATGATTTATGATGGATATGGAGTCGAGGAAGGGCTACGTTACTATCTTGCTCGGTTCCTAGCGGTTATTCAGTGTTTTTTTTACACTGTGTGTTGTTCTCGAAGCCTAGGTTTAGTTCTGTGAATAGAGCTAGAGCACGTAACTCCCCTAGTGGCCACCGATAGTGGCGCTACCGCATCTCACGTATTGCAGGCGCTGCCAAAAGGCGAAATTTTCGCTGGCTCCAGCCGGCTCTTAATAACATTTGAGAAGTTTTGTTAAATGTAAGCAGTGTGAGGAATGTTTTATTACTATAAAAAGTCAAAACAAGTACCTAACTATTTTATAAAAATTAATATTGCTTTCATTTTATGATTTATTTTATTTTAGGATAAGTTGAACTCTATCCTAACTGATATCACTATGTTTCCTAATCGTAGGCATTTTTAATAAGTTAGGCGTGATTAATAAAAAAATGTTATGCTGCTGTTTTTAAATAAAAGATTGTAAATATTCTTGCCTATTATCATTATTTTTGTATTTAAACAGTCATCTAACAATGTTACAAAATCAGGTAAAAATTTTGAACGTGCATTTCTCGTTGTGTATGAGAAGGGAAATCCCGTCTTGAAATTTTATGAGAAATAAAAAATCTCGTCTCGTCTCGTCTCGAACTAAAAATCCAATCTCGTCCATCCCTAAAAATAAAAGGTACATTTCTTAAGGTAATCCTGCTTATCCTATCCTTTCTCTCCCCTATTAGGGAGTATGTTTGTATTAAAGGATTCAAGTGACTCCAAAAGTACAAAATTAGATAACTTGATTTTACTGCTTTGTATTGATTCATATCGGTAATTTTTCAGGAAAAATGAAAGCAGTTGCATTTATTTTGGATCCAGACGGTTATTGGATTGAAATCTTTGATGCTAAAGGTGTAGCTGAAATGATTCATGGAAACTAAGTTGTCAAAGTAGAGCTAAAAGGTAAGTTGGATTGTTTATGCACAGTTTTCTGCTACTTAAATGTTCGTTATGGTATTATTTATGTACAGTAGACTCTCAGTAATCCGGCAGATATAGGACCGCCATACAGCAGGATTAGTGAAAATGCCGGATTACTGGAATGTTATCATTAAAAACACTTAAAATGCAATAAAAACACGTCTCTGAAGTTCGCGTGATCGGAAACCGCTATTGCTGCGATCGGGCATGACAAATACGTATTCGCGGGAGGCGATGATAACGTCTACACGTCCGCGGGAGATAATCGTAAAATTGCCGCCATCGCGCATTACGACAATGACATTTTCGTGACCGCGGGAGATGTTCATGATTTTGCCGCGATAGCGCAAGTCGACGATAACATTTCCGGGACTGCGGGAGTAGACAATGATGTTTACACGGCCGCGAGAGATGATAAAATCTTTACCGCGACCGCGGAAGACAACGATTAATGTCTACATGACCGCGGGAGATGTTAATGATTTTGCCGCGATCGCGCAAAACGACGATGACGTTTCCGTGACCGCGGGAGGCGATGATAACGTCTATACGTCTGCTGGCGATGTTCATGAATTTGCCGCGATCGCGCATGACGACGATGACATTTCCATGACCGAGGGAGATGTTAATGATTTTGCCGCGATCGGGCAAGACGACGATGACCACGTGAGAGAATTATGATGCCTACACGGCCGCGGGAGATAATCAGAATTTTGCCGCGATCGCGGAAGACTTCCCGTCAAAAGACGCCGGATTACTGGAGTGCCGGAGTGGTGCAGTGCCGGATTAGAGAGGGTCTACTGTATCATCAAGCTAAGAGCTAATACATTTAAATTTAATGATGCAACATAGAGCACAAGTGCTTAGGTTTTTAGGACTCTGTGAGGATACCAGGCTTACCGAATAGAAAAGAGTTCAAACTGGCACAAGACACAAAACTTTACACTAAATACACAAAACATTAGAATCACTGTCACTGACAGCATTTTAACTAAGGACAGTGATTCTAATGTTTTGTGTAGGAATATTGTGTAAAGTTTTGTGTAGGAATATTGTGTAAAGTTTTGTGTCTCTTGTGCCAGTATGGACTCTTTCCCATTCATGTAAGCCTGCTACCCTCATAAAAACATTTAAAATGAATGTTTAACTTTCAATATTTTTTGTTTGAACTCTGAGGAATCAAACTTCTGAATCCATCTATATATTAATAGGCAAGCATGTTTCTTTAAAACCTTTTTTCTCAGCTCGTGTGCATCGCAGGGGAAATCTACGCATACTGTTAGAAAGATATTTGCCTGTAGATGTGCAGAATCCCTTTATAAATTAAAATAGGCTAAAAAATAAGCACAAAAAACGAATTTGAAAACTTCAAAAAATTAACATGGACCAACTGGGTTGCCATGATGGTGACGAAATAACAACAAAATGTAAACAGAAAATCAAAACAAATGGAAGAAATCCCAATCACATGTTTTATTTACAGTGTGGGGAGAAAATAGAGAAGTCTGTACATGAATTATTTTTGGTCGAGTTTCGACCACAGGACGACCCATGGTGGAAGGAAAAAACATAGGTGTGCTATTCCCACATATTCTGACGTCACTCGGATTGCAAACAAAAGATCACCTGATTGTAACTGTCAAATTAGTATGTATTTGTTATGATTTGAAACAAAACAATAACAACCAAATCAAAACAAATTCATATACTAATTTTACAGTTACAATCAGGTGATCTTTTGTTTGCAATCCGAGTGACGTCAGAATATGTGGGAATAGCACACCTATGTTTTTTCCTTCCACCATGAGGACGACCACTAGTACTTACTTAATTGTAAAAAAATATCTTATTTAACTAAAAAAATTGCAAATAAACAAATAAGTTTTGTAACAAAACAAATTGGTTTTCTGTAAAGGACAAATTTAAACTTAGGCTAAATCATTCTAATGGCAAAATAGAACATTTATAATCCTTCTTTTTCGTACTATTATGGGCTATTAATTAACAGCTGTGTCTAAGGAATATGTCGGCCTTAGTCACTAACAAGACTACAAGATCGCGCCACTCATCTCCATTCATACTTGGCTTAAAATACCTACTTTGAATGGTCGCCATTGTGACGTGGGGCCCATATCCCACGCAAGTCGAGAAGACTGCTGAGACAGCATCCCCGAGCCGTGGTGTCTAGGACGAAGGCAGAGGCAGTGAGCTGTGAGACACGGGGCCGAGAAGGTCTCCGAGTATAGAGAGCGTCAGTACTTCCGCGACACGCGATCGGGTAGAGGGTCGGTCGGTACCTTGATATTTTAGTGCAGGGAATATTATTAATTTTGAGAGTTTAAGTTAGGGAAGTTTGTTATTAAATTTTCAATAAATAGTTCGTTCGTCTGCTGATTTTGTTGTGCTGTTTTCAACACCTCGCCACCTCTCACCCAAGCGAGCCCCCCCCCCCCCCCCCAGTCACAAGGGTAGACGTGACACCATTTAATAAGAAAGTACTTATTAGAGACTTGCTGAATAAACTAATTCTTTTCTTTCCAGGTTCATGTAAGACACGAACAATTGTCAACCCTGAGGGTTAGAACATAGCCTGCACTGTGTATTTTAAATGTCGAAATGAATCTATGTGCCTTATTTTACAAGTCAATGAATGAAAGTGTTAAGCTAAGAATTACGTTTGTATTGGAAACTGTCAGATTTGAGGTGAAACTATTTCTTCTTAATTTTTGTACTATGTGATACTGTATATGTTTATTTGCTCAACAATGATATAGGTCTACTACCTTTAACTATAGATGTACCCAAAAGTCAATGTTACTACTTAATTATAATATACATATTTATCTATTCAAATGTGATGTATATTTATTTTATCCTGTTCTAACACATTTGCTGCAATTGTCACCTTTCTGAGCAATAAATATATTAAAGGGTGATTTTTTTATTGGTTCGGTTTTTAAAACTAAATTAAAAAATGAAAAACAACTTGCATTGACATAAAAATGCATTTATTTGAACTACAGTGTCATGACATTAACGTTTAAAAATGATTTCTGGCATATGGGCTCCATTCCGTTCACGTAGAAAGCCCAATCGAGAAGTCCAATTTTCGAATACTCTTTCCAGCAGCTGTGGTCGAATTCCGCCAATAACTCGGCGAATGTTAGCTTCCAAGTCATTTAAAGTTTGTGGCTTGTCAGCGTATACTTGAGATTAACATATCCCCACAGAAAGAAGTCTGTTGGCGTGATATCACACGACCGTGGGGGCCAGTTGACACTACCTCTAAATGAGATGATACATTCACCAAATGTTTCTGCCAAGAGGCCAATTGTATCGTTTGCCGTGTGGCACGTCGTGCCGTCTTGTTGGAACCAGACATTTTCTAAATCCACTTCAAGTTCGTTTAGCTGAGGAACGAAATCGTCCCGTAACATTGCCTGATAGCGTTGAAACTTTAAATGACTTGGAAGCTAACATTCGTCGAGTTAGTGGCGGAATTCAACCACAGCTGCTGGAAAGAGTATTCGAAAATTGGACTTCTTGATTGGGCTTTCTATGTGAACGGAATGGAGCACATATGCCAGAAATCATTTTTAAACGGTAATGTCATGACACTGTAGTTCAAATAAATGCATTTTTATGTCAATGCAGGTTGTTTTTCATTTTTTTATTTAGTTTTAAAAACCTCACCAATAAAAAAAATCACCCTTTAGTTGACAAAGAATCAAAATACCATCAAGGTGGTGAGTGAGGAAAATGCAACTTTCAATAAAACTCTATTTATTTAACAATGTTTGCATAAACAAAGTTAATAATAAATATATAACCAAACAATTAACATTATTATACTTTGTAATTATCACCAACACCAGATTAAACTAACAACCTATATTTTTAAAATCTTATATACAGTTACTCAACACACTCAATATTTATCCTTAAAGTGCAACGAATCAAAACAAAACCAACTTACAATAAATTTGTATAAACATTTTTAACTAAACATATGGATAAAACAATTAAAACATGTTCATGTGATGTGTACGTTAGAAATAAACTTAAAATATGATCTTTCCTGCGGTGTTTTTTTATTTAAAATCAAAGAGTAAAAATAATGAAGAAAAAACTGATAATATATGTTTTAGGACTGTAACGGTATGTTATACCTATTCCAGAAATGTAATACAATTTTTAATTACTGTAGAAAAACAAATAAGTGACAATGGGTGTACATTATCCTGGAATGCCTAAATTAACAATATCACAATGACAGTACTCTATAACACAACACAATCTATAATTTAATTAATTACTATCTAGTATTTCATCTTTAATTTATAGTTTTGTAACTATTTTTAAAGTTTATCACAAATAGATAATTTGATTAATATGTGATGTCTCTGTGTATTCTACTACCTAACCTAAATTGGTGAAGCAAAACTGCTTCAAATAAAAATCACTGTGATTAGTTTCTCAAACACAAGTAGGTTTGGATGATATAATAAAGATAATTCACGTATTATATATAAGGATATGTCAGATAAATTTTCTTATGGCACAAATAAATGTTTGCAACTTTACTCAAACTAGTAACAAATTCAAATAATGACTCTTAAAAGAAATAAGTTGAGGGCACAAAATATACTCAAGCAAGGAGGCTTTTATACTCCAAAAATAGTAATAGGAGGAAATTAATCTGAACTAACTTGTGGTATATTGTATGTTTTTAATGCTTAAAGGAAAGGTAGATCTTTTGAAAGATGTAACATTTTCTGCTAGCTTAAACATAATCTTAACTGAGGATGCTAATCTACGACCCAAAGTCCTCAACCCTAAGGATATTAGTGTAGTCGTGAGAATTTTTGTGTGAGCCCATGAATTACATTTTTTTAGAAAAGATAACTGAAGTCCCTACCCCGTTAAAAAACATTCTTAATCAGCCACAGGCTTTTTTTAAAGTTCATTTAGGTCTACATTATGTATAGGAAAGTTATTCATTTAGACTTTTGAAAGTCAGATAAAACAAAACATTGGCCGGATTGTAAAATGATCTACTTTTAGATTTCACCATCTTTGTGAAATTCCTTTGGAATAGACAAATCGAATTTGAAAGGTGCAAGTCATGAAATGGCAATCATTACAGTTTAAATAACAAGTTATTCAAAGAGATATATTTAAGTTTGTCTTGACAAAGTCCCCATCAAAAGACTAATATATACAGTACTCATTCATTTTCTAAGGTTATACAATCAATTTTAGTTTATGAAAGTATTGTGTGTCATGTTCATGACAATAAAATTGCAACCTAAATGATCAATTGCAAACTTAAACTGAACAACACAAAATACAGGGTGATTACAAATTAAATAGACACTTTGTATTTAATTACACAGTTTGTTTATTTAATTTGTAACCACCCTTACTTCATAGTCATTATGGGTAATGATAATTTAATTGTTGTGCCAAATGAATTGTAAAACATACAACATCCAACAGAGAAAAAAATGAACAAGAAAAAACATTACTTGAGTTTAGAGTCAAGTTTATGTGTTTTAATACGTACCAACTCTGATTTTATTTTGATAAAGGCTCTGAGATCTATAGGCTAAATTTTTAAACCTGCATACATAAAATAGGACACACTAAAAATTTGATGTCAAGTTGATTAGCATTCAATATTGGATCTAAAACGCAGTTAAATGCTTTATAACAATAATTGATACACAATTTTTCATTACAGTCAATTGAAATAAGCTGGCCAAGATATCTTCAACAAAGCACAACTAAGACATAGTACGTTCTGGAGTAAGCAGCAATTAAAACTATAATAGATCTATTCAATAAAAAACAACAATAAACTATCATAATAAACTTTCTTAACAAGCATAAGAGATTTCATAACCTGGCCGGCCATCTTCATATTTATGTCCATTATTTTTTACACAATATTTTGTTTATACAGCCTTACAACTATGCACTACTTTTAACTATGTAGTAACTATAACGGAGATATTGCTAATCTAAACACTCATACGACTAATAGGAACTTGGTTGTTTATTTTCTAGTAGGTTTTCTGTAAGCTGTGTACTTCCCAGCTTGGTTTACAACTAAAATGGAATGCAACGTAAATTGTCTATAAAATCATTCAAAAATAGGATTGATTCGATATGGCCTGTATATTTGGAATATACAAATATTTGTGATTAAAAGTGATTTTAGAACAAAAATACAAACTAAGGGCAAGTTTACATTTGTTGAAGGTTTGTTTTGGTAAAACCATTGTAAAACATAGCTCTGTTGATTTATCTACTATCCCCATAGCTTGCCCAAATGTACTAAGCTTGAAAAGTAGATCCTAAACCAAGAACAATTTCAATTTCCTAACCTATCCTAGTTAACAATTTAAACCAGCTTCACTAACTATAGTGGAGCAAAATGGTCTTTAATTGTTTGTGCAAACAATTAAATCAGAAGAAAGACAAAGTTTGTTGTTTGGTATTAATACCTTTGCTGTTACAAACTTATCTTATGATGGCATATTAAAATGAAAACTAAATGGAGATTATGTTTAGTAAGCAAACTTGAGTCGAGTAGCTTAGTGCTAAAGTTACTGGATTCACTTGGCAATAATTAATGTAAACATGGGGACAATGCCCTACAATATTGGATTGTAATATTAACTTATAATTGTTGAGATAAGCAGGATCATACAAATAGGAAAGAGTCCATCCTGGTACAAGAAACACAACTTCAATGTGTATAAATATTGTTTCTAGCAGAACTGTTGTGTAGTGTTAAGTATTTGAGTATCTGGTGCCCGAATGGACAACAACAAATCTTAAAAACCTTCTCCAAAATCAGATTACTTTGGAGCAACAAATATTTGTTGAAACAAGTAAGTCCAAGCTGATTTTGCTACTCCAATTTGCTAGTCATAAAATCATTAGGCCTATAGATTTTTAAACAAATAATTTTGCTCCACTAAAAGTCGTGTACATTTCATGCTAAGTTCCCTAAATTATATCAACCATATTACGAGGCATAATAAAATCCACAAAAACAACTTTGATTCACAAAAATAAAACTGTAACAAACAAATTTAACCAAACACATGCCTTGCAATAACATGAAATATTAAAATATCAAATCTATTTATCGGTAACTAAACATACTGAATGGTACAGAAGTTGACAGGACTTGTTCGATACTCCTTTAATATAAAGGGTAACAAACCCAACTTTGAAGTTTCGCGTTCACACTTCGACCATTTATATTATACCCTTCAACAAAAATTTTCTTTTGAGGCCACGGTTTGAAGTGTCTATTTTGGTCACACACACTTTCCACTGTTCCTCAAAGATTTCACCGCTACACCCGCTGAAGTAGTGGATCACTTCTTTGATCAGGTTGATTTTGTCGACGTTGAACTGCAGTTTGCCCATTTTGCCGTTGACGTTGCACGTGATGCGTTCCTGAGTGGTGAACAGAATTTTCATGAGGTCGCAGGCCAGCAGGTCGAGGGATCGTCCCTTGGACCACATCGCCAGAGTGTCCGGGGGCGGCAGTAACTCGGCAAATGGTAGGTTCTGATAGGGAGGTCCAATACCTGAGGTAAACGAACATTTGAGTTTAAATTTACATATTGGTTTGCCCTTAAAAATACTAAATTAATAACCATTTTTGTTGAGCAAAATTCTTCCGTTATATTTCACACTAGCAGAGTACCCATAATTCGTACGGGGTTGGCATATAAGTATAAAATGCTTATTGCAGTTATACTCGAGCTTTGCGTTTGCAATGGGGGAGGACACAGTTTAGCTATAATGTTCTACCACATTACCTAAACAATAGTGAAAAATAAATTAATTCCCAAAATATCACAAATTATTCATGAAATTAAAAACATAAACGTAACTCTAAACAATCCTACTTTGAAAGTTCTCATTGCGTATCAGTTTTTTGTTGTCGCTTGGTTCAAATTACCTGTTTTCATAAATGCAAAAAAAAAAAAAAAAAAAAAAAAAAAAAAAACAATAGTGCTTCACCGTGCTTTAATGCTTTTTCATATCATAGAACCAACTTTTTTAGTTGAAACAGATGACTAAATTCTTTAATTCCCTTTAAATATGATTAGGCCCTACTCATAAGGTTAACATGGGGAACTACAGAGCCACTGAGGCGTAGCCCGAAAGGATTTTTGAGATAAGAATATGCCTATATGTTAATCGGGAATGTGAGCTATCATCATGCCAAATTTCAGACCAATCCGTCCAGTAGTTAAAAGTTCTTCTATGAATCTCTTAATAGGTTTTGATGAAGGTCTTTGTGTGGTTGGAGAATGTGTCTATGTATGGCGATTTTCTTTATCAGGATTTATCTCCTTCTCCAGAGGAGAACATTGAGAATAAGATTTTGAATTCCTGGTATATCTTCCTCCCTTTTTATTTCAACGTTGTATTTACTGTTCTCCAACTTCTTCTTAATTACCTCCTCTTTTATTTTATTTTATCGAACTAGTGTATATGACAACATTTGTAGCACATGTATAGAGCTTTAGTTTAAAAAAAGAAATAATGAAATAGGGTGGATAGCTTCAGAGATATAGTTGGTTTTCTAAAACTCAACATCCGCCATCTTGGATTGGTCGCCATTTCTATTAGCTACCACTTTGAGATGGCAATCATGATTTTTTGACATCCTAATAGACCCGTTTAACTTTGGTGAAACAGAAAATTAGTACCGCCAAATTATACCATATCCTTCAATTTGGCTTGTTGGCCCATGGACTATTGGTCCCATACCCAAACTTTAGTGTTTTCTGGGTAATCCTTGACCTGGGTCCCTCTATGTCTTATTGTTCCTGTATCCTCTTTTCTTCCATTTGTCTAAGTCTTGGAGTCTATTTTGATTGTGATTTGGAGTGGCTGGGTAAAGAACTGATTTATTTACTGGTAGATTTGTTCTTTAAATCTGTCGCATAAATTGGGGGTTGGATTAAAAACTGTTAAATACTTCCCACCAGGGGTTTTTAAAACAATGTTTGATTTGGTTAGTAATTAATTGTTTCTAGCCATTCTTCGGAGCACAATCCCTTACGTCTGCTCCACTGTCAATCTTGAAGTGTCCCATTTCCCATTACGTTTTACATTAATTTCAGGTTCATTTGATTGATTGTAGTTCCTTATTGTTGTTCTTATTTTTTTAACTTCAGCTCTGTTAATATAATAATACCCACCCACTTCTATTATCCTCTTCCGATATGTTTTCAGTATTTTCTTGAATTTGCTTCAGTTTGGGTTTTCTGTATTTACTATTTATTGTTCTGTCTCGTTTTACAACACCGGCTGCCCTTGCAATCCGCAGTAGTAGCACTTAATATTCTGAGCAGGACATTTTTTCTTAGTATGTCTCTGCCCTCCACAGTAAAAACAAAACAATAAGAAGTAAATTGTCTTGTGTTTCAAGTTCAGAGGTTTTTTTTCACTTGGTCTATTTTTTTTTTCAAAATCTTGCTCTCTTGTTACATTAATAGTAATTTGTTGGTTCTCTATCATTTCACTTTTATTCTATTTATTGCTTCATGTTAAGTTAGGTCAGCCATCATTTGAAGTTCCGTAGATAACTTTGAATCAGTTATTCCAAAAATGAGTTTATCCCTAATAAGGCTATCTTTTATGTCTTTGCACCTGATAACAAGGAAGGTTTTCTCAAGAAAATGGTAAACGATAAATGTTAAGTTCAATTTGACATGCTTGTTATTGGTATTACGGTTCAATCAAATCCTAACTTATTTGAGAATGACTAACATATAACATTAATATTTGGACCAAGTAAGGATTTTGAGAACTCTATGACCATTTCCAAAACAGTATACATGGTAAACAAATGTTTTACCAATTACATAATTTTAGTATGATGATAAACTCTCCCTTTCCCATTGTACTCCTGATTTTTGTGGGCACAAAAATAAAAATAATTTTTGGGGCCCTGATAATATTTGAGTTAAAATGTCTTTTGACTAAAATCAGTAACTTTTCAATGAACATAAGCGACACACCCTACTTATAGTTCACCACCTGTGTACCTTGGCTGCTGTTACAGTTTTATTCCCACCACCAAAAGTCTGACTCTAAATACAAAACTAAGAGCCGTTTTTACTCTACCTCTTAGGTTTGCAATACAGAAAGATTCACTTACAAAAGTCAGGTTGAAGTTCGCTCCTGGATGTCATGGGCAGGTCGGGATTGGACAAGTCTTCTGGCAGTTCATCGTATGACATGTCTCTGTCACTAACCACCGGACCTTCTTCCTCTGTCACTTCCACTTTGACAAACTCCTCCTTTATCCTTTCGCTGATCCACGAAGGATCTGTCCTGATCAGCTTGCTATGTTCCGCATGGTTGTGACTTGACGACTTCTTCCGCTTTGAGCTCTTCTCTTTAGTGCAATTCAAGATTTTACTAGCAGGTTCATCGACCTGAAAATTACAACAAGGTATGGTAGTTAGCATAATGAATCCTGTATATCATTGACCAGTATCATTTTTATTGAATGTATAATGCTTTAGAGATGCACACAATGCAAACTGACACTCATCAGGCCCAGGCTGATAGATGATAACGTATTTTCACCATCTTTATGAACATACCACGACAAACCGTATTCAATGGGAGGAATGCAAGTAATCAAGGGTGATCCCTTGTCAGTAGTTTTGATAATCTTATGATAATAAAGGTTTCTGATTGGTTGAGAAGAGACAATGTATCAGGCAGAGGGACACCCTAGGTAGTAACTTTACACCTGTTGTTGCAAAGTAAAGTCCAGCTCCTTAGCCCAACTTGGTGCTGATCACCTCGCTTAAGGAGTTTCAGCTCCACCTAGAGCCCGTGGGTAACAGCTAGTAACACTTAGACTATTTGGAATTCTTGGAAGCCGCTACCGTAAGGCTACCTCAGCTAATTTGTATTTGTTTATAACCTATTTGAGGTTAAAAAATATGATAACTGATGTATCATAGGTATACCCCCACCAGGTAACCGATAGCCGTACTCAGATAGTTGGCCATTCCTGTCTGGGCCGTCTAAATATCAACAATGTTTGTCTCTGGCGTTACCTAATAAAGTTCATTTATTCAGTTTCAAATGTGAGTTTTATTATATTATAGTATACCTCCAAGAACACGTCAGTGGCGACGAGAAAATGTGTTTTAAAACAGTTTAATTGTGATTGTGTCAATAACTGCAAGTTTGTATAAAAGTGAAAGCTGCCGGTCGACGGTCGGTGAGTCAATGTCGTCCATTTTGTCAACGTCTGTCTGTGTGTTTTATAATTTAGTCAATAATTAATTCAAAATGTCTAAAGCACCAGTTTTTGTCCCGGAAGAGGAAGATTTTTCGCTGTATATCGAAAGACTAGAACTGTATTTCAAAATAGAAAAGATTGATGATGATCTTAAAAAAAGTTATCTGTGTGTTAATTTGCAGCCTAGTATTTATGCAGAACTCAAGTCTTTATTAAGTCCTATCGAGTTCAAGAAAGCAACATATAGTCAGTGTACTGAAGCATTAGCAAAAAAATACACTAAAGTCAAAAAAGTTATTTCCGAGAGGTATTCTTTTAATTTGCGGAAACAACGAGTTGGAGAGTCCATTACAGACTATATTACTGTGATTAAAACCTTAGCCAGTACATGTAATTTCGGATCATTTTTTGACAACGCATTAAGAGATCGTCTTGTGTCGGGGTTATTAAATACCAATATGGTCAGTCGTCTACTAGCTGAATCAGACGCCATTACTTTTGAGGAAACATGCAAAATTATTTTCGACATGGAAGCGGTAGAGAGGTCAACGAACATTATGTCTGGAAATGACGTCACGGCTCACGTCAGTCACGTGACCACGCAGGGAGCGCGGCAGTCTACGTCAACTCCTACGTCACAGTCCTGGAGATCCAAACAGCGATCACGTACCCCACCTCCCCCCGCTACGTACAATAGACAACGGTCAACATCAGCTGGTTATCCACGTCATCCACGTTCCGATAAACATTCGCCGTCCCGATATAGGTCACCGTCCCCGCACCGCCGCTCGGACCATGAACTATCCAACAACAACCGGAAAACCTGTCGTTATTGTTTTAAGAGACACAGTCCATCAAAATGTCCCGCAAAAGACTGGATCTGTCACAACTGTGGTAAACAAGGACACGTTGCTGGTTTTTGTCATAGCGCTAATTTTGTTAACATGTCTAATACATTAATTAATGAGACCGGTCCTTTGTCTGTATGTATACAAGTAAATGGTACACCTACTAATTGGCTAGTAGATACTGGTAGTGCAGTTAGTATTTTGAGAGCAGATCTGGCTAGGAGCTTAAAGCTAACTAAATTGTCACCTTTTCTAGGTCAAATCAGAAGTGTCAATGGTCAAGAATTAAATATTTTGGGTACTTGTGAAGTTGAGGTTAAGCCCCAAAACCAATTGAAGCAACATTTTTTGAATGTTATTGTAGCTGAACAGCTGTCATGTCCCGCTCTTTTAGGGAGAGATTGGTTGTCAGTTTTGTCACCAAACTGGTCAACTAACTTACTGTCGGGATGTTTGTCTAACACTAATGATTGTCCAGTAAATTATGTGTCGAGTCCAAACGATGAATGTCAGTCCGTGGTTCAATGTAGGCCTAAAGCAAATGTAGTTGAAGTTTTGTCAACACGTTTCCCTTGTGTTTTTTCAAAGAAAAACAATGAACTACCAATCAAAGATTTTAAAGTCAGTATAAATCTGAAAGATGATGTTCAACCTGTATTTCACAAAGCGTATACAGTCCCTTATGCCTTGAGAGATGAAGTAAATCAAGAGTTGTCTAGATTAGAGTCTGAAGGTATCATAAGTAAAGTCAAACATGCAGATTGGAGTAGTCCCATGGTTTGTGTACCAAAATCTAACGGCAAGTTGCGTATGTGCGTTGATTTTAAAACCACTTTGAACAAGCATTTAAAAGTAGATCAACATCCTATCCCCACTCCTGATGATATTTTTAACAAATTTGTGGGATGCAATGTTTTTTGTCGCTTGGATCTGTCCCAAGCGTATTTACAGTTAGAAGTTCATGAAACAAGTAAACAATTGTTGGTTGTTAACACAATCAAAGGTCTCTATATGTACAACCGCCTTCCTTTTGGCTTAGCATCTGCTTGTGCAATATTTCAATCAGTTATTGAATCAATCTTGTCAGAGTTAAATCAGGTTGCGCCTTATCTTGATGATATATTGATTGGAGGTAAAGATTTAACCGAATGTGAACAGAATCTGCACAGTGTATTGTCACGTCTTGAAGAGTACAATGTAAAGTTAAATGTAGATAAGTCAGAATTTTTTGTACAGTCGTTGATATTTCTAGGTTTTGAGCTGTCTGGTAAAGGTAAAGCACCGTCTGCTACCAAAGTGCAGCAGATTTTGTCTATTCCAGCTCCTACTAATTTAACAGAACTTAAGTCATTTGTGTCAATGTTTAATTACTACAGAAACTTTGTACACATGTGTCCAGACCTTTTAGAACCTTTTCATAAACTAATGAGAAAAGATGAACCATTTGTCTGGTCATCAGATTGTGCATTAGCTTTTGCTAAGTGTAAAACGTCTCTATCAGAAGCAACCATGTTAGTATTGTTTGACCCATCAAAAGAATTAATTTTGTCTGTTGATTCAAGTTCTTTTGGTGTTGGTGCAATTTTGAGTCAAGTTGAAGGTAACAAAGAGTACCCAATAGCTTTTGAAAGTGCAACCCTAAACCCAGCACAAAGAAATTATTCACAATTAGAGAAGGAAGCTCTGGCTTGTGTTTTTGGTCTAAGAAAGTTTCACAAATATTTGTGGGGAAGAAGTTTTACAATTTGTAGTGATCACTTGCCCTTGAAGAGTATTTTCAGTGAAAATAAGAGAATACCTAACTTAGCTTCTTCAAAGCTAATACGGTGGGCTACCATGTTGTCTGCTTATCAGTATAAGATTGTCCACAAGAAAGGTTTATTGATACCACATGCCGATGCTTTGTCGCGATTACCAAGCTCTGATTTAGTCCAAGATGACGATTCTTTTTTTACTTATTTGTCCACTCCTCTAGTTTCTAATGATGAAGTGAGTAAAGAAACCATGAAAGATAACGTTTTGTCTAAAGTGATAGAGTTTGTACAACATGGTTTTCCAAAAAAAGTGTCCAGTGAGTTCAAAGTGTATTCTAACAACAGCCACTGTTTGAGTGTTCACAATGGTTGTTTGTTTTTTGGAAGTAAAATTGTAAAACCTGAAAACCTAAGAAGTAAAGTCCTAGATGTGATTCATTTCAGCCATGCTGGCATAACTAGATCAAAACTATTTGCAAGGTCATACGTGTGGTGGCCTACACTTGATAGCGATCTATATAGATTCATTTCAAATTGTCAAATATGTCAGTCTCATCAAAACAAACGTAGTAACCAATATCGTCTACCTTGGCCTAAGTCAAAATGCCCTTGGGAAAGAGTGCATCTAGATTTGTTTGATTTTCGTAACAATAAGTATTTGATCTTGTGTGATTCTTATTCTAAGTGGGTAGAGTGCTTTGTACTAAGAAACAGAAGTGATTTCAAAGCCGTTATAAATAAACTAGCAGAAGTGTTTTCTAGATTTTCATTTCCGCGCACAATTGTGTGTGATAATGGTCCGCCATTTTGTAGTCAGGAATTGAAAGATTTTTGTAAAAGGAAGTCAATCAAACTCATGTTTTCACCTCCATATTCACCTCAATCTAATGGACTAGCTGAACGTTCCGTTCAAACATTTAAAATTATATTGTCTAAATTTTATCTTAGTCAAAGAAGTCATAATCTGCCACCAGAACAAATGTTACTAGATTGTCTATATGCTTATCGTTCCACTCCATCCTCTGTAACGGGTAAATCTCCTATGGCAATGCTACTTACTTTTGTACCTGAAACGCCTTTGTCTTCTTTAAAAAGAAATGTAAGTTTCAACTTTGTATCAGATCAGTCAAAAAGAAAGAATCTATCTGAAAGTAAAGACAAGCAAAAGATAAGAATTCCAAACTACCATCCTGATCAATTTGTATGGGTAAATTTGAATAAAAGAACAAATGTTGGTGTAAAGTTTGTGGTAGGTCAAGTGACCAAGAAAATTAGTCAGACTGTTTATTTGGTAAGAGTGTTATCTGACCAAAGTATTCACAAAGTCCATGTAAATCAGCTTAGAGAATATTATGTTCCAAAACCTAATCCTGATAAACTCTACACCAAAACACCGTCACCTAGACATGTACCTAGCCCTAGTCCACCCAGACCACCTCCTGTTAACAATAGTACCAATCCACGTCCATCTCCGCCCGTCCCCCAACCTTCACCTACAAGTCCCCTTCAGCAGACTACTAGTAGAGGAAGAGTTATAAAGCCGACTAAAAGATTTACATTTTCTGAATTTGATTGATGATATTGAACTGTCTTTTTTGTCTTTGATGTTGTTTACTGTTTTGTTGTGTGTATTTTCAAGAATTGTAAACAAAGTTTTTATTTAATTTATTTTGTCACTTGAATTTTTGATGTTTTAATTATTGTACACATTGTCAACTTATACATGGGAAGGTAGTGATGTATCATAGGTATACCCCCACCAGGTAACCGATAGCCGTACTCAGATAGTTGGCCATTCCTGTCTGGGCCGTCTAAATATCAACAATGTTTGTCTCTGGCGTTACCTAATAAAGTTCATTTATTCAGTTTCAAATGTGAGTTTTATTATATTATAGTATACCTCCAAGAACACGTCAATAACCAATTGGAAATTAGTCGCAACAATCAAAAGACTTAAATTATTATAATATTATATTAGTTATATTATTATTATAACAACTGTACATGTTTCCGGAAGTTATTTGATTGAGGTTTTTCATTCTTGCAGTCTTTAAACCTGATACTAACCTGTACTTTCTCATTTGACTCGAATTTCCGTCCGTAAAGACCTCTAACTTGTAAGTCCTCGGCAAGTTGAAGGAATTCAACCAAATTATTTTCTTCTATATATATTTCTCCGGTATACATGAATTTAAGTAGTTGTTTTAAGTTTAAGATGGATGTATCAGGAATTATCACAACTGGATGTATGGCACATGTATCCTGAAAAAAACAACAACACTGTTACGTTATACTTTTCAAACCAGTCTTAGTGGTTTTGAGTTTTGATCTCTGTAGGAAGGTGAGGCACTGAAGGGCCTTGCCAGCCAATCTCAGTAATCGAAGACAAATATTGTTTGTATGTGAGTATGTATACCAATTATTATACCAAATGAGATGGGGACCCCACCTAGATGCATATTTATATTTTAACCCAAATTTGAGTGAAGGATCAGTGAGTGGAATGAAATGAATTGGCCATAGGATCTTTTCAGGTGAATGGTATGCTTCTATATTCTTTCACACTGTACTGCGCCAGTTCTAGGTTAGTTTAGCTTAGTTTATGAAAATAACAGACAAGGTAGACAATAGACAATTTCCTTTATCTTGGTAATTTCATCAAGAAATACAATGGCGTCACAAAAATGCAGAATTTTTAACATTTCGATTGTTTTACATTTTCTTTGTGTTAAAAGTTTATAAGATAACATTTTATTGAAATAAATTTAATATGTTTTGTATATTTTTAAGTGACGAATTGATATAAGTTACATCAATTTTTAATATTGTCCTCTTTTTCTTAAGTTTATAAAAAGGCAAATTTGTAAACCATGTTTGTCAATCATAAACTAAACTGAATTGAATTATTAAACTAAATTAATATAAACACCGCAGGTGTAATAGAGTGGCGGCCTTCTTCTTGAAGAGGCCCTTGACAGATATTTAATATTTAAGATATCGAATGAAATATTTTAATCATCAATATATATATTAATGGTGCGGAAAAAAAAACGAATCCATTTTCTGCAGCACACTGTTCAGCGACAGGACGTCTGAGGGTGGTTGGGGTAGGCTCGTTGGAAAGCCTACATGTTACTATTATCATTGAGCGGTGGTCGCCTGAGCTATGCAGGTTTGTTATGAAGTCATATTTGAAAAATAATGATTCCAACCGTCATTGCAGCTCAGCTTAAGTTCAGTGCATTCTTTAAATTAGGACAACATGGAGAGGTTCCGTTGCGTTTATCTGTATGGATAATCAACAAAATTAAGCAATTTAATTCAAATTAATCTGTATATGGATGAAAATGAAAATTAAGACCGAACCTCAAAATTTGTTAAACCAAGCCGTCAGACATGTTCAAAGCTTCCGTTTGTTTCACGGGCAGGCCTACGATGACTGTTTTCCACAACAGCACGAACTCTAACGAATGTTGTCTGGCGTCCAATCTCAATGCCATTGTTGTTAAGTTAGTAACCCACCACATGATTGTGCTACACGACCGAACTTCTCCATATTGACCTTATGGAAGAAATGCACAGAACTGCCGCTGAGTTGCAATGACTGAATCATTACTTTTAACTACAACTCGATAACAAATGTATGTTGTTTAGGTGACCATGGCAGTGAGTAGGCTTTCCAATGAGCCTACCCCCACCACCTTTAGACATCCTGTCGCTGAACAGTGTGCTGTATGTGTATATATATTAAATGAAAATTTCATACTAAAATAAATTACATACTGTTCTCTGCAGAACTGTACCCATATTAAGTTAGGCTATGAAGGTATCGAGAATCGGTATTTTTAATATTAGCATGGAGAACCGATTTTTTAAATATCAGTATCGAGAACCAATTTTGTTTTAAAGCCTCTTTAATACATAGTCTAGGCATATATTTTTCAATCACTTACCTTGAATATTTCATTAAAGAATGGACTGCTTGCTGATAAGACAATTTGATGAGAATGGATCTGCTGACCTCCGCAGGACAATGTGACATCCACATATTCATCTTCATTCCACAATGATTCCAAACTAGTCATTAAATTATTTTTGAACGCATTCCACCTCAAACACACTTCATTGTCGGTCATTGTAATTTCTGAAAGATTAAAAGTCCATATAAAATAAAAGAATTAAGGCATAATAATGATTATCAAAATTGGATTAGACATAGGCTAGCTAGATTGATGAAAATTAGGTTACCTTACCAGGCCTATCTTCTTCTTCACCAAGACCAGCTATGCCGGATAAGTTGTGTCATTAAAGGTTGTTTTAGGTCATTTGTAAATACAACGGAGACGAATCGAAGTTTCACAGAGGCTCAATTCCTTCTTGTGAAGAGTTTCTCACTATAGCAGTACTTGAGTGAAAATTTAAAAACGTACGTTTTCAGGAGAAGCACTTTGCAAATTTTTTTCCCCTTTTTTTAAAACTTTTATTATTATTTTTATTTCATTAACATTTGAAGTTTCATAAAATGTCCATGGTAACGCAATATCTTTGGTATTTTTTTTTTAAAAGAGCATCTTTAGTGGAAAAACACAAAATCCTGTCACGACCATAACAGACGTTTAAATGAATATTAAAAATAGTTAATATTATTTTTATAACTATGTTTTGCTATAAACTAATTTACTTTTATGACCATTATACAATAAAAAGGTCACTGAGCTTTTGGTATATTTGGTCTTTCTAGAAAAAAATAAAAAAACTCAAAAAATTGAAAAAAAGCCAATAAAATCGTTTTAAGTTTGTATAACTCCGAAAAAACTTACCTGAGACCCGAAAAATTGTTATGTTTGTATAGAGGTGTGCTTCTTTTGTGTATAAAACATTGAAATATGACGATATTTTAATTTTTGAAATTTTTATGATAGAAATCATAAACGTGATGGTCAGGGACAAGCGGTACGGTCGTGAATTTTCTGAAATAATCTAAATCTTTCTAAACAATCCTTCAATTATACTGTTATTTATAATAAAAATAAGTGTTTCAATTGAACTAAACTGTTCAAATTACAATGATATTAAAGTTATTGTCACGACCAAACACACTATAATCCATAAGGCTGGATTGGTCGTGAAAAAACCCGCAATGGTCGTGAAACTTTGGTCGTGAAATTACGTGTTATTTGGCTCTGTTCTGGCGGTAGCCCTGCACCTCATGTTTGAGGATACAAAGTGATCTTCTAGGTTAATCTAGCAATTGAAATATCTTATAAACAAAAATTAAAACCATGTCTACTTCATCGAATGACCACGTACGGTCATGGACACACCAAAATTACAAAAAACACAATCTTTCCTTTATTAATCTTGTAATTCCTCCTTTCAACTTGAAACGACCGGCACTACAATCCTGACGTACACCCCGAACTAGTCTCTAAAACCAACTGACTCCATCGACGCCAGGCTTGCCACTGTCGTGCTCCAAAGTTGAAAATTTTTCCCAAATGGTCGTGACGCCAAATCGAGGGACAGACTTATTTTGTCATGGTAGTCAGTTTGCAATGACAATAAAATTATAATATGCTCCTTTTTTGTAAGTTTAATAACCATTGATGGCATAAAAATATGGCTTTATATATTTCGGCATGAATAATTAGTCTAAAAACAGCGTGAAAGTTGGAAAATGTACCCTAGGGACACGTCATGGTCGTGAATTTCGAGACTTTAAAAATACGAAAAAAATACCTAGAACCTATTTAAAACCAAATAAATGTGTGTCACATGTTGCCCCCGTCCCAAAAAATATTAAAACACATAATAATAAACTACAAATCCAGTATCTACGAAGTAAAAGGCCAGGGACATGAAAACGTACGTTTTTAAATTTTCACTCACTTACTATATTGTAGACGATTTGACCAATCAACCAGAGGGTTATTTAGATATTTACTTGCTTCTGCAGATTGGGAGCAATTATACAACACCAAGGATTTAAACACCAAATTTACAATATTCCTTGACGTTGCTTTCCCAAATAAACTACAAAAAAATTATAAAATTCAGTGTAAGGGTAAAATCAAACTGGACAAGGAGACAATAAATATAAAAAACCAAATGCTTGATCTTTATGTAGAAACCAAAGACTTAGACTCAAACCACCACCTTAGTCAAAAATACTTACACTTACAGAAATATAATAAGGCAACAAAAATCATATATGATTCATGATATAATAAACCAATCAGATAATAGAAATAAAGCCATCTGGGATACTAATTAAAGAAAATCTTCCAAACAAACGTAGCAATACAAAAGAAATCAATCTTCATAATGAAAAGGGGGAAATAATTTAAGACCCACAATAAGTTGCTAATGTCTTTAGGCCTAATAATTTGTTTACATCAGTTAGTATGCCATCAGATAAGAAAGGCAAGCCCAATCATATAAAGCCTATTCCTGATTCTCTTTTTCTTAAGCCAAAAAACAAGACCGAAGTAGAAAAGATCATAAAAGATATGAAAAATAAACGGTCGGCTGGAACAGATGAATTGTCACCAAACCTGTTAAGAGAAGATGCAGACCTCGTATCTAACCCTCTACCTAATTTAATCAATGCCTCCTTTGAATGTGGCCAGTTCCCAGATGCCCTGAAAACGTCCATTATTAAGCCACTCCATAAAGAAGGAGATCGCCACCTCTGCGACAACTACAGACCTATAGCAATAACATCATCTATATCTAAGGTATTTGAAAAGATAATACTACTAAGACTATTAGAATTTCTTACAAAAAATAATATTATTTCAGAGAAGCAATTTGGGTTCACAAAAAAGAAAGCCACCACAGATGCGAACTGACCTTATCTCAAATTTAGTAAATTCATTGGATGCATGGGAACATACAATGGGCTTTTTTCGATCTGAGCAAAGCCTTTGATATGGTGGATCACGCATTGCTTCTTGATAAGCTTTCTTGTCTTGGAGTGCGAGGGCTGGCACTGCAATGGTTTAAGTCATTCATTACAGGACGGAAGCAGTTTGTGATGATTCAGGCAGTGGATGACTTAGGATATCTGTATACCTACCGCTCACCCCATTGCGAGTCTGCTTGTGGCGTGCCTCAGGGGTCAGTCCTCCGTCCGGTGTTGTTCCTTATCTTTGTGAATGATCTTCCATCAGTTGTAAATTCTGGAAACATTTGTCTGTTTGCTGATGATACATCGCTCTCGGTTTCTGATCAAAATTTTGATGAACTCAAAAAAAAGGCCTTTTTGCAAGCGAGCTCCATGATGCAGTGGTTCGAGAACAACTCATTGAGTCTAAATGCCAGAAAAACTGAATTTTTTCTATAAGTTCAGCTGGGAAAAACAAAAACAATCTCCTTTTGAATGATGTTGAGCTCGAAGCAACTGATCAGGTTAAGTTCTTGGGATTGGTGCTGATAGAAACCTGCGCTTTCATTCCCATATTGACACTGTGTGTAGAAGGATTTCTTTGGGAATCTTTCTTCTCCGCCAACTTTCTAAGTTTGTAAAATGTGATGTTCTAATTACAGCATATTATGGAGTGATTTTCCCGCACCTGATATACACAGTGCCGGTGTGGGGGTGTAAGGGTGGGAACCTCGATACTGTGTTTTATAACCTAACCTAACCAACCAAACTTGCTGATAATGAAAAAATCGAATGAAGGTTAAATTCTGTCCGTAGAAAAATTATGAATTCCAAAAATTCTAACAAAAGGTGTACATTTAAGAATAAATGGTATTCAAAGCAAAATCTTTGACAAAAGTTTATATAAGCAATGACATTGGAACACAGGACCTCTTGCATATCAGCCGAGCACCTTATCCACTACACCATAAACACCGATGGCTAAATACCGACCGGACACCTTATCCACGTCCGGGTACCGGACGCTTATCCTCTATGTTCGATATGTATGGGTACCGGTATTCATCCGATAAGTTAATATATCGTAGGTTCTCTGTGAAAGTCTACCCAAGATGACCATTGCATGTATAATTTAGGCCTAACTACGTCAAGTTTAGTACCTCAATAAGGAAGAAGTATAATGTAGCCTAGATGGGCTAAAGGCTAATGTGAAATTTTCCCTTATATCACTAGCCTATTTAGTGTTGCAGTAAGAGTAGGGCCTACATACTATAAATAGATTTTTAGGAACTTTGCCAGCACAGGACTTAAGTTGGGCTTAATCCATCAAGCATAAGAGCATTCTAGCCTACCTACTTTGTGAAAGCTTTATCAAATGGAAAAATTTAGTGTAGTTTAAACTTCTTTGTGCTTAATAATAAGCGTGAATTCAAGCCTACATTTAAAAAAGTAAACGCACTGGCAAGAAAGTTATAGGTATTCAGAATTAACTAAATCGCCTACAACAGTAGGCTAATTTTATCTATCTCTTTTAATGTAAGAAAATTGGCTGCCTAAGAACCAGATAACCAGACTAGAAATATCTCTTATCAATTGAATTACATATCTAGGCTATAAAATAAGTTAGGAAAGTACTGTAATTAGTTCTTACCTGTGACTTATGTATACTACTTGTTTAAGGTTAGAAATTTGTTGTTCCGTTACGTGAGGTTATGAAGAAAAGTAATAAAAACATATGACTACAAACACATACGTAATTTATCAGCTGCTGCTGCTGCTATAACCACCTTGTAGCAGTGCAGTACATTTGCAAAATTGTGTATTGAAATAATTGAATTCTGAAGTTCCTAGTTCTTGCCAACCCAACACAAAGAAAATATTAACTGTAAACATATATATATATATATATAATTCCATTAAACGTATATACCACGAATACTACAGAAAAGACCCGGTATGGATCATAAACATTAACAAATGACGTTTTTGGCCCGAGAGTAAACAAAACCATGTGTTAACTAATAAATGTTATTAGTATATGGGTTTTGTTTACTTTCGTACCAAAAATATCATTTGTTTATGTTTATGATCCATGGTGGAAGGAAAATACATAGTGTGCTATCCCGTCATTTGCTGACGTCACCCAGATTGCAAACAAAAAAATCAGCTGATACATTGCCATTTAAGTATATTGTTTTGATTGGATTGTTATTGTTTTTATAATTTTTCTTGGTAAAATGGTGTGTTTGCAATTTGAATGATGTCAGCATATGATGGGGAATAGCACACCTATGTATTTTCCTTCCGCATGTTTATGATTCATACCGGCATTTTTCTAGTATTAGTACTAGTAGTACCTATATAGCAGTAGTATTAGTAGTATTCTAGTATTAGTATATTTCTAGTATATATATATATATATAGTAGGCCTATACATATAGATACTTACAAAGTAATGAATTTACTTTTCCTACAGTTACCTAACAATGTACATGTTCTCTCACTGATTTGAGAAAGCAAAGTGGCCAATTCGCTCATCAGTGAGACAATGTTAACAATTGTCTCACTCTAATTACTTTGTCTCACTCCAGATTTGCAACGTGAAGGCACGAAATAGTGAGCGCGTAACATGCAGGCAACGTATGCGCGCGAAATACGTTGGCAGCACTGGCTGTAAATCAGCTGGTCAGCTGTTGTATTGTACTATTGTATTTGTCACTTCACATTAAATGTTATATTAAAAGTTCACTTCTGTGTAAAAATAGGTTATGTTTCTTCACCAATTTATTTGTTTTATGGTAACTGTAGGAAAAGTATAATGTGCAACTCGAGTGCAAAGTACAATTGCCTCACTCGAGAAACCATTCCTCGTGAGTAAAGATTTCTCTCGAGTGAGTCAATTGCTCACTTTTCTCACTAGTTGCACAAATAACTATTTCATTGGTTGGAAACGATTCTTCAGGACAAAATTGAAAGTTCTATTGTATAAATCGGAGATAGTTAAATAGAAAATAATTTTAAATTGGATCTCTTATTGTTGCAGTATTATATTGTTATGCTTACCTATATATTGTTGTAGACTACCTACCTTACATTATATGCTTTGTATTTAAGTCTTATTTGCATGGATCTGATCCGGATTATTAGGTTAAGTTGTGTTAAGAAGTCACTTTCTTGAATTCCAACATTTTCCAATAATTTTATTTCAGAGTTGTTATTTATTATTAGCCATCTTGTAGCCGTATACATTGCAACTGTGGCCCATTGTGAGAGTTTAATATAAAACTGACCTAATTAATACTGTTAGGTTTTTAATTCTGTCATTTTGGGTCCAAGCTGAAATCCAATTTTTTTAAAGTTGCTTTTTGATCTGTGCAAAAGTTAAGGCCAGCTTAAAAATAACTGTCATTTTATTATAACAAAGCTGTAAAGAAGCTGTATTTTTACTGCAAGAAGCCAGCTATAAAAAAGCTGTATTTTTACTGTAAACCAGCTGTAACTAAGCTGGATTTGTAAGGTAAGCTAGCTATAAATTAACTATAAATAAACTGAGTTTCAAATGTAATCCAGCTGTAAATAAGCTGTATTCTTACAAAAGACAGCTGGATACCAACTTGAATGTTCAAGCTGGAAAAATAGCTTGAAATGGAATACTCTTCGATGTTTTTGTTTCCAGCTGTGATACAGCTTATAAAATGTGACATTGGTAGTTGGCAACAAGCTGGAATCTAGCTTGTTGTGCTATCTGGGAACTATATATATTGATCAAATGTTTGTAGCAAAGCACTCATCACTGTACATCAAAATGGAATGTCCATCGGAATAAAATTTCCATTTGGCTGATTGGATTTACACTAAAATGCCTCCTTAAAAATATCACATTAAGAATTCTAATCCCTATTTAAAATGAATTAGTTTAACGAGTACTTAGGTTTGCTGTAACATGGAGAGTAAAAAAGGGTGTTTTGTTGTAAAATGTTAATAGTTTAGTAAAAAATTGATGTATTTCCAAATTCGATCAAAATATGTTCACAACAAGCAAACTAAAACAGTTAACTTATTCCCCATAAGAATAACATGGGAATTTTCAATTTAATTATTTTTTTTTTTATTATCTCCATAACCATTAGGCACACAATAACGCTTGAAAATAATAAATTATTTGTTTTTTAAGCTCAAAAAAATAATTTGGAAAGAAATTGTGAAATTTTGTAGTTTAAGGGTCAAAAATGGGAACCCCTATTTTTACCCCATTAAACCCCCCCCCCCCCCCCCCCCATAAACCCCTGTTCCCATAGTCCGATCATGCTGGTTCGCAAACTCGTTTGAATAAATGTAGGTTTACACGTTACAAAATTTAATCAAAATCGGATGATTTTTGCGTTAGTTATTGTGCTAACGGACACACACACACACACACACACACATAGGTAGCTGGTAGCATTTAAAGGTAGAATGTTAGGTAGAATGTTATGTTAGCAGTAGAAAGTTTATATTATAAACACACCACATGAACAGTCCTTTGGAATTTTTATTTCAAACAGAGTAGACATCAAAATGCATTATATGCAGGTATGTAATAACTATTATCATAGATAAAACATACTCCTCAGTAGATTTCCCATCCTTATGGTACAGCTGACGCCAATTTTACTGTTAGTTCTGACCGGTGTACTGAAGAGTCTTTGTTTTGTATACAATTTGTTTCTTATTATTTCAGTAATTTAAAACCTCGTTTAGGCATATAAAACTATCTAATCATAAACAATAACTTGCCCATTAGCTATATAACCAAACAGTGAAGCACAAATCATGAGAAACTAACCATAAAATAATAGAAACAAATTGTAGACAAAACACGATATCTACAGTACACCGACAGAACTAACAATAAAATTAATACTTTTCAATGAAATGGCGACCATATAGTAGGGATTTTAAGCCAAGTATGAATGGAGATGGTAGGATGAGTGGCGTGATCTTGCAGTCTTGTTAGTGACTAAGGCCGGCTTATTCCTTAGACACAGCTGTTAATTAATAGCCCATACAGCTAATGGCAACTAAGGGACCTACAGTTTATAGTGGAATCCGAACCACATTTTTGCCTTGGTATATACAAATTGGTATAATTTTCAGGATAGTACTGTGGATAGTCGTAGTACTCACTCAAGCTGACGTTAACCCACACCAGGTAGTATCGCATCCACAGGGCATGCCTATAAATATCCACAATTTGTAACCTCCTAGTAGCTGGATTACAGGGCTACGCCACCCGTCCCAGTTTTTTGGCTTCAGCTGTTCCATAAGAATGGGAAATCTAAGGAGTATGTTTTATCTTTGCTATTATACATATTATAAACTACAAAAATGTTAAATGATAACTCAAGGTAGGGTAACCCTTGAGACCTTATAATTTGTACAAAAATAATTACTAGAATATATATATTAATGCTTAATATATATATATATTATTACCAATTAATAGGTAATAATATATTATTACCAATTAATAGTTAATAATATATACGTTTATACTCAATACTAATACTTTATGCAAACGTTTGATTAAACATGTTTTAAAATCTTTGAAAAATAACTATAACATTCTTGAAAACTTATTAGGCCTAATTTACTAAATGTAAGACACATACAGGTAGAAAATGGCTGGACTGCTTTATTACTGGATTCTATTTTTGACATAGAGTCAATATAACTATAACACGATGAATTTGTTTTCTAAATTCGCATATGTTCCTTTGCGGCACGTTGAGCCGCACAGGTTCACTATAGTTTCTTTATATTGTTTAATGTAATAAAATAGATGAAGAAATTGGAACTAGGCAATCCCAATTTACAAATAACAAATAATTAATTTTCTTATTTGTTTCAATATGTTACATATTCACATAAAATGGCTACTGCTACAAAATTATGAGTGCCTAGTAGTATGAGTAAAATTAAATACAAACTAAAAAACTATAAAAATATCATTCAATGATTCAAATTCATAATATTAAAGAAACCGTATACGAGCAAAATATAAAATCAATACAAATGTATTTCCTTTTATTTGATTTTATTCTTTGATCCAAGAACAAATTATTCGAATTTAGAGGTCATTAAGGAGCTATCAGGAGCATTTAGGATATCTATGAACCTCCCTCAGGACATTTACCTTACAGATTAACAACAAAGAAAGCCAAATTATACCATTAGTCAAAATAAGGATTAGAATGTTAGAAGCATTTTGCCATGGCGGGCAGATGGTTGTGTTTGGGGTTGATTTATATATTAGTGCTTTGTGGTGCAATTGCAGAGGATTTTACACCTGATGAAAATGAGGAAGAAGGTAAACATAACTCGTTTTTCCCTAAATTCTTTTGAATTTTTAAGCTCTAGATGTTTATAGTTTATACTTTAAAAATATCAAACAACTTGTTGCGGTTTGTGTTGTGTTGGTTCTATATTATAGAGTAAATGATAAAACAACTTGCAACACTTTTGACATTCTTACACTTGTACGTAAACATTTATTACAAGATGGGAAATAAAACATACGTTACAACTACAATTGATTCTGAGCTGTCAGATTACAGATTATGATTATTATGTAGAAACGTGTTAAAAGACATTTTGTATTATATTTGTACAAGTACAAGTCCTTAACATCCTTAGCTTAAATAGGGGTTGAATTTACCTCAACACTAGAAATGTGTACGAATTATTAAGAATTATAATAATTTGTTTATGAAAATCAGAATTCTTTTCAGGCAAACTTCTATTATTGTTCATCTCAAGAATTAATTACATATAAAATTATAAACCATGTAGATAATTATATTGAATTTTTGAAAATGTAATACTCGCCTTCTGATATATACAACAAACGTTATGTTGTTTTCATGAGCTTATTACCTAAATTTGAATACAACAATTTTGTTGTAGAAAAAGGGTCATTTTGAGAAAAACCATTTTGAAAATTTCAAATACACACAAAAACAGTTTTTTTCGTATTTAAGAAACGATAAAAAAAAGGAAAGCTTATAATGTCCTCTTTGGAGGCAAAACCAATTTTTGTCTGAACTCCCGCTAGTTTTCATTATTAAATAATTGTTTTATTGAAGCATGTCGTAAAAATCACATTTCAGAAAAGGGACCTCTTGTCGGCCCTATGTTATTTCTCCATAAAATAAGAAAAAGCAGGTACCTCAAATTTTGTGAGATATTTTATTTTCTGTACACTGAACTTTGTTGTGGTTCTCTAAATTTCCTCTAGAATGTAGGACAATTCAATTTTTGGACTACACCGACTACACTTGTTTATGAAGTGAATATTAGAAATGGGACCTCTTGTCGTTATGGCAAAATAACATTGAGCGACAAAAGGTACCTTTTCTCAGACCATGCAGAGGCTAACAAGATGATTTATTTCGACCTTTTACATCTTCAATTTGACATTTTAACTGGTACTTTCCTGTTCTATGATAAATGAGGTATAACAATCAATAAAACCCCGAATTTCGATATTTTCGACCTTTATTACTTATATCGTACTAAAAATGTTGCATCGCCGACAAGAGGTCCCTTTTCGCTTTCCACATCACATATAGATTCATTTATCATGATTTGTATTATTCTTTTTTGTTTGAGCGAAGAATTTTTCAAAATAGTTTTATCCAGCCACCCTGCCGCTAACTACAACTCTTTTTCTTATTAAAACAGATTGGCCAGAATGTGACATCAACTTTCTCCAGGGGAAGTACTCGATAATTCACCCCAAGTTCTGTGACCGTTTCTTCGCCTGTCAGAATGGTGTTCCTTATTTAATGCAGTGTGAGGATGGATTTGGCTATTTACCTTTCCGGGGCTGCAAGCTTTTACATCTTGTCGACTGTACTGGTCGACCTCAACTGCGTAAGTTTCTTTGTTCTCATTTTTGTTCATTTTTAATTTTATGTGTATTCTACACCTGCAAAGGTTTACTATGTGTTACATTTGAGGGTGTGTCTAGTCTAGTGGTTTGAGCTCAATATTTCTATCCTGAAGTTCTGGGCTCAAAACTCACCAATCACCGGTAGCTTCTGTCTGGTAATGATGCGACCTTAGTTTAAAACCCAGCTTAATCTGTAGTAACCATCTATAAAGTAAACAGCATGAGAAATCTGGCACATACTTTTTACCATGGATTAATATACTCGATCCCTTATTTATCATCCTTAGATCAGCAGAAGACAATTTTGAGTTTTAGTTTCTCTACTGTACCAGGTATATGGGTATTAGATAGAGGACGTTTTGTCCTCGATTGTTTATTCTTTTTAGTTTGACAACTACTGTAATAAAAACAAGCCCATGGGGCGTAGCCCAAGGGAAATAAGAAAATTAAATTGTATAATATTGCATTGTCTTCCATTTGTGAGATATGTATCAAGTTTCAAGTCCCTAGCTCATCGGGAAGTTAGTATAAAATTGGTTGCAAAATTTGTAGCGGACAAGAAAGTGACCTAATAAAAACGTTTTAAAATACTACCTGACTAAATAAAAAGGTTTATATGTGTCTCTTTGATTGCACTATGGTTTTAATACAAAATTAAATCAAACACACTCTACCTGTAAAATTAACCATAAAAAAGAGACACATAGTAAAAGCAAACTCAAGTGTAAATGATGAGATACATACAAAAGCGTCAGATTCAACTTGTTACTGTGAAATCTTATTAATATAAAAATGTGTGTTTGTTTGAAGTTCAATCACGCATTAACTACTGCTCGGCTTGGGATGACAAACTGGTATGGTGATAGCTCACATTCCTGATTAACATATAGACAGATTTTTATCTCAAAAATCCTTTTGGGCTCCACCCCATTGGCTCTGGAGTTTCCCATGTTAACCTTATGAGCATTCATATTTAAAAGGAAGAATTTTGTCAGCTGTGTAAACTACACAAGTTGGTTCTATGATATTAAATAGCATTAAGAAGTTATATTGTTTACCAACAGGGTGCAGCACTATTAGTTTTTTTTAACCTTTATGACAAAAGCTAATTTGAACCAACTAGCAACAAAAAGCATACAATGAGAATGAGACACTTACTTTTTTTTATTGTTTAGGTGCTGTGGTAGAACATTATGGCTGTGGTAGATGTGCTATATTATAGCATACGGTAAATTAAAAGAACCAAATTTTCTTAAACCGTGTCCTCTCCCATTGCAAACGCAAAGCCAAGTATAACTGCAATAAGCATATTATACTCATACGCCAACCCCGGTACTCTGCTAGTGTTTCATATATGTAACTGTGTCAACTTTAAATGTTTTCTTAATTTTATTAGTCAAATCTGACATTCTTCATATGAAGAAAGAAAATGGCCTTTGTACCGCCTGATGATGGCTCCATGTATGAGCTGAAACTAGTTGTTTTTGAAATTTGATTGGATTGCTTAGTAGGCGTTTAAACCTTTCTTAATATTTGGCAATCAGGAGGCTAACATCTACAATGCAAAAAAATACAGTCTGTATATTTTACAATTGGATGATAAGACTACTTGCAATGCCAAAATTTCATGGTTTTTTGTAACACTACAACACCTCCAAAACTTGAAAGAAAAGCCTTGTTTTAGAGAGGCCGAGAGGTAATGCCCAATGCCCTCGGCTCTATGGGATCTTCAACGACCCCCGTGGATGCGGCAGATTTTTCAAATGCGTCAACGGAACCGCAGTAGAGGACAGATGTGCGTCTTCACTCATGTTCGATGATGTCAACAAATTCTGCCGAGATGCGACGAGGGAAGAAGCAGAGGCTTGTAGGGAACCTGCGTTGATAGGCTGCACTTCAGGTTAGATTTTGATTCAATATTTTTTTGTAGCCTACCTAGTAGTAGTTTATAGTATGGTGTTAAATTTTTTTTATGGTAAAACTTTAGTTTATTTCAATATTCTAGACATTCATACATTTTTAAATTTAGGGCAGAGATCCATTCACTTTACTTTTGTCTTGGATTTAATGTTTTTTTTTGTTTTTTTTTAAAGGCTATCATATTACGGTATATCAAATCAAATCAAATTATCTTTATTCACTTTATACATTTTATATACATGAATAGTGTCAAAATATATTTCACAACATTATGCGTGAAATATATATTTCATTCGTGACATTATATATTTCACAATAGTCACACAAAGTTGTTTTGGTGGCCAAACTCAAGGGATGGATTTCCACTAGATTGTTTGGATGGATTTACGATCATAACGTGATCCAGTTGTTGAGACTAGGTACTTAGTTAACAATTTTTGCCTTTGTATAATTGATAATAACCAAATAATGTTTCAAATACTAATGTAATGACAGGTAATTCTAGTTTTGGAAGAACGACCAATGGTTTTGTACGTAAAGGTTTGTTTTCATGTAAAATTACCATGTTATTTTCAATCTTATTCATCCTTTTGTGTTGTGAAGAGTCCGTGCAAACACATACACACAAATAAATGAACATCAATCAAAACATTAGCAAGAATTTAGTTAAACAGTAAAACTGTCTGTGTCAAATACAGTAATGCTCATGGTATTTCCCGTCAGATGGGAGTCATGACACAGTTATCACAAATCAACTCTCAACAGCTCCATTATTGAAAAGAATTTGTAGTCAAAACTACTGGTTATCCAGCCATAACTAAGATCACTTGACAGAACAAAAAATAAAAATATTTTAACCTTTTATATGGTGACCTTTTATACCTATAAAAAAAGGCCTTTTTGACAAGAGTGACTAGATTTATTGGGCAAAGCCAAAAAAAGCTTTCTAAAACTCCTATCACTAAAAGCCAAATCTTTTGCCTGCTCAATGCAATTCTCCTCTAAATGAACTGCACTCTATTAGCATACTTTTTTGTGTTAAGTTTAAAACACTGGATGTTACAGATAACACCAATTGCTCTTGGTTCAACTGCCCAATTGCAGATGTTTTACCATTCGGAGACCATTCCCGGCACCCGTACCCCGGCAACTGCCACAGGTTCATCATGTGTCTGAAAGATGGAAGTGTAAAAGTCGGAGGCTGTGAGGCCGGGAAAGCTTACAACCCGGTTTCAAGCACTTGTGAGCCGGAGAATACTGTGCAATGTTGATCATATGTCCATAAAAATTATAAATACACCTGTATAAGTTTACTTACGCTCAAGAATAACAAAATATTTATTTTGACTCTTATAAACAAACAGTGCAATACTTTCCTGAATTGACGATGAAGTAATTTACCCGAGTACGAATCATAGGATGGTGAGATAGCTTAACGTAGGTTTGTTATTTAAACTGGTTTTTAGTACGGTGCAATTAGCCAAAAAGATGGACTAACCTCAACATCAAAAGTGAAAGCAAACTTCAAACTACACTAGACCCCCACTTACCGACTAGACCTTGCATTATCCGATAATCAGATTATCCGCTCCAGCTTTAAGGACAGTTTGATTTAACCGCTGCTTTGGAACCTTCACATTTTCTCTCCCTTGCTCGGCGATGGGAACAATACGCTAAACTCTACAGCAGGACGTTACCAAGAATAAGTTAATTTGTATTTCCTAAATAACATCCTGTCTCCAAACGAAATGGTGGTTTGTATATTTAATTTCAATAATAAGTTCTCTACTGTTTTACAATTATTTTGGAAAGCATAAATTAATATTAACTAAAGGTATTAAAATAACAATTTAAATTGACTTGACTCTTGCTTACTACTATAATTTATTCCACTAAAAGTATTTGACTTAACCGGTTTGGGTTTATTTCTGACTTTTCTATTGCCAAGACTTTACGAAAAAGGAGAAGGTGTGGTTTATTTTTTAAATACATGGGCAACTCTCAAATAATGATTATATGAATAATTCCAAATAAATAGCACTTGATTTTTAAACGTTTTTAGGGATTTCCCTTTTTAACTGACCTTTTGAGTTATCAGAACTAGGTCCGGTCCCGTTTGGGTTGGTTAAGTAGGGTTGGTCTACTGTATTTAGTATAGTCCTTGTAATCCATGGTAAAATTTTACACCATTCTAAGCGACGGGTTTACACATTTTTCAACTCCCCCCCCCCCCTTGACAAAAAATGTGTAATTTTTTACCATACATTACGGGGACTATATTGAATAGTTTTTGGAGTCAAAAGTCGCCTTTCACTTTGGATGTTGAGGTTTAGGTCTAATTGAACCATACTATTACTTAAGTTTATTAAGTTTGTTTTCTCTATATCCAATAATTATAAATCTTTGTATGCACACTGAACAGACACCACTGAATAAAATGGTTTATGTTTTTTCTATGTCTTTTTATATCCCGAATGATATTTTTTATATGTTATTTCAAGTAGTGAATGACCATAATTATTATTTAGACATTGGCTACATTTGTATTATTGATTATAAAGCACAATTCATTCTTGACCAGTCACAAGTCAAGGCTCACATGGCAGGATGAAAGCACTAAGATATTATGTTTCACATTTTAGTTTTGTTTGCCAGAAACGTTTACACAATTTCATTCAATATTCAGAACCAATCAATCAGTTTGCAGGTAATGATATTTATTTACTATTCACCAACTTGAGTCCCTTTTCCATAGTGTTTTAAGGATATTGGGGAAAGAAATCATTTGTCATCATAGTATTGTTACTGAAAACTCTTTAAAAAGACTGTGTCATAATATTCTTTTTGTATTTTAAGATTGACAGTAAAAAACTCATTACATATTTGCAAAGTCAACAAAAACCTATAGTACATTGCTTGCAGTGCTATAAAAGAGTACACATTCCGAAGTTTTACAATAGTATCTGGTGCAAATAACTGGCTATTATTTAAGCTTTTGCTAATTTCAAGATGATAAGTCGGAAGAAGATTGATTTGTGGATGTATGCCATCATTTTAAAAATGTGTCACCTTTTGGGAGTGCTTCCCATAGAAACAAACACCATTTTCAGAACCCCTGTTATTCCGCTCAACAATCGTACTTTTGATGACAGTAAGTGATGAATGTAAAAACTAGTAAATGAATGATAAATGCACACTCAACCTTAGAACGACAAATGTTTTCATGAATGTAGGGTATGTACACCCTTTGGAGATAACCATTATAGTTATTCACTAATCTTATAGCTAGCTGAAATTTGTCCACAGTACCTGTTCCATAGAATTTACGACACCAATGATATTTTATTTAGTTAACTTCAGTTGATTATTAAGCTGCCTCCTTTTTGTCTCTTCACTTTCCGTGTGTTAAACTCCGGTAGCAAATCATAATGTGAGTTACTTTTACATTCATTATCAAATAGAAACAAAAACTACATATTATTCCAGTTCTTTAAAATACAAAATAATTCTAGTCTATATATATATAAAATTCAATGTATGTTTGTCTGTCTGTTTTTTGCTAATCGGTTTGTCTGTTTATATTGCTGTTTCCTAACATGTAAGTAAATCATTCCGCTGATTGAGTTTCTATCTGCTAAATATTAAAAATAATATATAAAAACATAAGTAAGGACAATATAATTGGTTAAGTAATTTGTATCAATTTACAGGTAGCCATAAGGAACACAGTAGGAGAATATTCACAGCTGTTCAAATTATTACCAGTGCAATATTCGCCCATGAGATGGCTCCAAAGTTATCTGATTTTCCAAGTTTTGCTCCTGTGGCAATGTTATGGCTGATAAATTGGAGCTCAGCGCTTTCTATTCTTTTATGCTCATTCTTCTCAAACGATTCTTTGGCAGACTGCTTTTACAAAGCTTGCCAAATTTATCACTTTTCAAAAACCAATCTCAATCCCCTCTCTTTGAAGCTGTTTTTATTTATGATTCTGTTCCCTTTTGCACAGTTTATTTATGCATCTGTATATATTGGTATCTATAGTAGCAAAATAATCATTCGCTTTTTCATATATAACTTTGCTTACATTCCTACTGGAATGGTTGCAGCACTTGTTTCAACATATTGTATCATAGCTCAAAATGCTTACCATAATATAAACGTAAGATTATCTCGTTTCTTGAAAAAAAGAATTTTGAGCAACATTTCGTTAACCGTTGATCAACTTGAGCATTATTTAGAAGTCACAAAGTTCACATCAGGCTTTGCCAAGTGTTTTGGTAAATTTTTTCTGATTATATTTTTGTCTTTCACATTCCGTTTGATTATCTATACTCTGCTTGTTGTTAAACTGCGGAGAATCGGCCATTTTCACGATTTCCTAGCTTGCGCTGTTCACACATTTTACTTCATATTTTGGCTCCTGTTTCTCTGCTATAGATGTTACACTGTTCAGCGAGAGGTGAGCATTTTTCACACTTTTAAATTTTAATCAATAGGGAATTTTATATTATTATATTTTTATTCTAATTATTAGTCAAATACAATGAATAAAAACCCTTTAAGAAGCTAAATGCTTATGGAGAATAGTCGGACTGGAATTTTGCCGGCAAAATGAGCATCCCGAGGCTGCTGCTACGATCGCTTGCGCGGTCGCCGCGCTACTCTATCTCTATCTCTCTCTAAGCCAATTCTTTGTCTCACTCAGTCTTGGCTGCACGCTCTCGATGGTCTACCTAGCGGCCGCCGCGGGAACTATCGAAAAATTCAAATATTTCCAGACTGAATTTTTTTACAAAGGCATTGCGCTTCTTAAAGGGTTTGTATTCATTGTCATATATTTGATTCCTCTCAGATAAAATTGATATAAACCACCAAACACGGTTTCACATTATTTTACAGTGTTCAGTCAAGTTCAAATTCAAACTATATAAAAGTAACTATTCCACACAATATGTTAAGGGTGCGCTCTACCTCAGCTCGGATTTCTCAGTACGATGTTGCTTAACGCGGATGTTCCTATACCATTGCACTGAACAGCGCCATGATGAGCGCTTGCAAGCCTTTTAAATCTAGGTGATTACATTGTTATCCTTAAACCTTTTAGTAAACTAATTGCATATTCTTGTTTTTAAAAATCTATTGCACTTCCCTCGTTTGTTATTTTTTCTCTAAAAACTATCTGTATGCTTTAAAACTTGTGATAAAAACGCATTTTTTAACATTGTTACCAACCTTTTAGCCAAACATCTTTTTAAAATATCTTAATTTAAAACAGCGCAGGACCTACAATAATTAATTAACAAAAAATATGAACCAAGATCATTTAAATCGGTTCACAATTGGGGCTACAACCAGTAAGAACCAAAACCCTTGCATTTGCACGTGCCATATGGTTAGAGCGCAGCCTTAATGTACATTTTGAAACTTCGACTTTTTAGTTAAATAAACAATTAAATTATAAGTTTTTTTGAACAAACTAACCGATGCTTTAAATTTTGGCGTTACAATTTATTATAATTGAAAACTCTTAATTTAAGATACGGTATTGTATTTATCAGGGTGTTTGATGTTTGCTGAATAAAACTACAACCAAGTAAATCTTTTACATTAAAAAACCATGAAATTTGTAACTAAAATATAATAGTTTGAATCTACTATATCAATCTTTTATTTCAAGAATTAAAAATTTCAAAAATATCTTAGCTAAATAGTCAATTGTTCTTGATAATGTTGGAGTTCACAATCATCTTTCATTCTTCTTCACATTACACACCCTTATACCATAGGACAAGTAGAATAAATATAGACCAACATCAGTCCTACGGTTAGCATATGTTTCCGCGAGATCTTGTAGGCGAGGAGCCGTATGCTACCAGCAGACGCTGCAGCGGTGTGCGCTCTAACTACAAAGCACTCCTAGCGGCAAATCGTGGAACCTTCCTTTGACAGTCTATATTTATTCTATTGGTCTATGCTTATATAGGCTACCTTTAGAGTTGTATTTTTGAGATTCGTTCGACATATTAGATCTATAATCATTGTCCTTGAAATCACCATCGGTATTATCGTTTATCCTTATCTCATAATCCAAAAGAAATGTATTGCACAGAATGATATTTGAACAGCTGTGAAATAAAACTCGTATTCACTTTTTACGCTTAAAGAAAAGTTTGTGTTTAACAAATTATTGGTTGAATAAAGTACTGGTTTTACTACAGTAAAATGATAGCTTCTCTCAATTTTTCAGAGTCATACTCCGGAAGGATTAGCAGATTTTTCACAGTGGTTCAGATATTCATCTGTGCAACGTTCTCCAGCGGAAATGCTCCACACATTACTCAAATAACGGATTTGTTACCAAATGCTGCATTATGGCTAATCAACTGGATATCTGCCATATTAGTCTTGATTCTACCTTTATTTTCCAATGATTTACTATCCGATTGTTTTTTCAAAGCGTCATCAATTCTCTTCTCTCCGTTTCTTCTCACACATTTTCCAATAAAGCTTTTT